GAAAACATAAAACTTAGTCGTCACAAGATGATAAACTAAACATTATGTACTCTCGTTTTAAAAATTTTCCATATAAATCTACTTGTGACAAAAATATCCGAAAATGCCTTAGATTTCTTATGTGTGTGAACGTAGGGTTATTGTATCAAAATATGTAAAAGGTTGTAGATATTAGGTTCCTGCTAAAAATTAAGTAGACGCTATATAATGCACTATGAAAACGTACAAGTTATCAGTTTTTACTTATTTCATTCTTGAATGATATTATGGTGTGGTCTATTTATATCCCCATAAGTAGTATTTGATGACGGTCAGGCATAGAATGTATTTTGGCAGAAGATCGATAAGGAAAGAACAGGGATGAAGCGCAATCGGTATGAAAATGGATGGACAATAAAATCAGAGAAGACGGATTGATATTCGCAGACGAAACAGTGACGATTGTGACAGTTGATTGTTATTTTGCAAATTAACTGCTTACTGTATAGTTATCAGAATTTAGTGAGATAGTCTGTAATGCGATTGTCCCTACCCATGTTCTCATTCACTACTATATCTCAAACCCATAACTTAATAGCTACCATAAGTCAGGTTAATAGTCAATAAAGTTGTAGTATCAGTTTATTTGTTAAGCCCATATACTTTATCCTAGCTACTGGCCAAGCCAATTCGCCTGTCATGAGTCATATTTTGATCTTGTTCATTATTCGCTTATTAACCTTGGCTATACTTTTATATGAGCATATATATGTACACTTCGTATCTTATTCATCATATGTCTGTCACTCATTTTTGTCCGACTAAATGTTGATTAACGCTTGCTTAAATTGAGTTGGCTTCACAGCCAATCTCCAATACGTATTATTTTCGCCTCACTCTCGAGTTGGCCTCCCAGCCATCTCCAATACGCATCATCTTTCGCCTCGCTCTCTCGCTTGCTCCTCGTTCGTTTCCTTCGCTTGTTCGCCTGTTCACTCGCTCTCTCACTTGCCGCTCACTCGCTCGTTCATATTCGCTCAGGTGTTGTTAGCTTTCGAACCTGAGTTATTCGACAATAAACTGTAGTTGCTGCTATCCTTTGTCTTCTGATTTTACGCGCCGTTAAGATTAGAATCATATCGGTTATCGAAACGAACGATTAACGAATCGCGGCACTACAGAATTGGATGCCTCGCCGAACGAACACGGACCAAAATTGGTAACTTCAATGTACGAACTCACTACATAATTGGCGACCGTAACGAGCGAACACAAATCAAAAATGGAACCGCCGACGACATATTGCGTTACGATTCGAATAATCATCATATGCTCATTATTACAATAATTAACAAGATCAAAATATGACTCATGACAGGCGAATTGGCTTGGCCAGTAGCTAGGATAAAGTATATGGGCTTAACAAATAAACTGATACCACAAAGTATCCTTTTTGAATGTATTAATCACTTGGTTATATTTAAATATTCCATGTAAAATGAAATGAGTATGAGTTTTCAGATAAAATCATTAGTGAACAGTGGGTTATTGTTTAATCCACAAACCGTTTACTTACAGAATACTAAGTCACTGGTGACTAGAGTTCATATGGATTGCTCAAAATTCTTTTGAAAACCAAGGACTCGTAAAGTAATCAAAATCTGAAATCAGTCAGTTTTTATCTACAACCGTAAAATACGTTTGGAAATTACCATAAGTTCACTTGGTTTAACCGGGAACTTTAACCCGCATCTTAACCTCACGGAAAATTACTTTGTCAAATAAAAGTTATGATTTGAGGGATTTCCTTCATTTCTAGAATTAAACTGGAACCAACAATGATTTGGATATAACGGTTATGTGTCCCTAATAAGTCTTGTTGATTAAACGCTATACTCGGATCCCATGCTAGAACTACACAGCGACTTGAAAACGAGAGAAAAAGCACAAAATACGTGAGAAATACTTTACTTCAAAGGTCCATTTATGTACAGGAAATATAGAGTTTTTACAGTATTTTAGAAGTCCTTGAGTTTTCCTGAAAATTCTAGAATACTACTAAACCTAGTAGCATTGTAGTAGTCAGCCAATCAGAACCTCTACATGTGACTTTTCATTTTCGCAATATTTCTAGCAAAACTTCTAATCAAACGCTGATTGGATAAAATGCTTCCTTATGTTTCCTGAGTTTGTCATGTTCATTGCAAGAAATTTTCAGGATCATCCTAACAGTCCTACCCGCGTTCTTTGCATCAACTTGCATGGTAAGAAGTATATGATTGCCACAGATTATCAAAGCGATATTACAGTTGTATGAAAGTAGTCATTATCTTTGCATAAAATTTAATAGTGATACTAACCAATGTTTATCTCATACGTAGAAACCTAAGCCAGATATTTACATTCTCCTAAATGTTATGAGAAGCTTCATCTCAGTTTGCACAGAAAACAGAATGCAGATATAAATATGTAGTTAAATTACAACTCCCTTAAGATGGAAATATTTTCTCACTTGTAAATACAATACTTTTACTTACTTACTTGCTGATGCCTGTTACTCCCAATGGAGCATAGGCCGCCGACCATCATTCTCCAACCCACACTATCCTGGTCCTTCTTTTCTAGTTCTATCCAGTTCTTGTTCATTCTTATGTCTGTCTCTATTTCTCGGCATAATGTGTTCTTTGGTCTTCCTCTTCTCCTTTCGCCTTCAGGGTTCCATGTGAGGGCTTGTCTTGTGACGCCATTGGGTGATTTTCTTAAAGTGTGTCCAATCCACTTCCAGCGCTTCTTCCTGATTTCTTCCTCCATTGGAATCTGGTTTGTTGTCTCCCACAGTAACTTGTTGCTGATAGTGTCTGACCAACGGATCCGAAGTTTCTTGCGTAGGCAACTGTTAATTAACACTTGTATCTTCTGGATAATGGCTTTCGTATTTCTCCACGTCTCCGCCTCCATACAGTAGAACTATCTTGACATTTGTATTGAAAATTCTGATCTCGGCGTCTATTGACAATTGATTTGAATTCCAAATGTTCTTCAGTTGTAAATATACTGCTCTTAAATACAATACTACTCTAATATTACTTATGGTAACATGTAAAATGAAAACGGCATATTATTAAAAGAAATCATTTCTTTAAACTTTGACAAGTTTCTGTCATGTATTTCTATAGTATAATTTGCCTACTGTTAATCGATCACTTTTATAAAATTTATAAAAAGTGGGTGGATAAAGTAATTTATTATAAAAGGATAGAGCTGTAATTGAACGGTTACCATGGTAACCATTCTACAATTAAATTTGATACATATATACTCATACATTATTTAATATTCTAATACTAAAGTTTCTATATGTTTATATACAATTAAATAGGAATAAATATTTTCATCATGTATTGGTTGGTCAATTGAATTAATAGGAAAGATTGATAGTAATTTTTTTTAAAATTTTTTATCAGAAATCAATTGTCTAAATTAAATTAACATACAGAATGATTGATTTATTAAAGAAATTGTTGAGGAGTCCTACAATGGGACGAAACGGCCGTCTAGTTCTTCCAGGTTTTCTATGATGGTCTAGCTTCGATTGACTCATAATCTTAAGTATATATAATTAACAAATTGTTTGTTATAAAATAATTAATTAAAGGAAAATGAAGTTAATAAGTAAAATAAGTAGTATAATCATTGTCCAATTTGATAATTTCAATTGAACTAATCATTATAAGCAAAGATGGATAGTGACTAGCAGTGGAATGCAGGACGCGCGTTTCGTATTCGGGGTTTGTCAGTCGGATGTCATTGCATCTCAGAATTGATGTTCAATTTAAGACTCGAACCCAGTTCCTTTCGTTATCCACTCAGCTACTAAGTCCTAATAGCCACTTGCTTGTACAATGGGGTGAAGTTTAAATTCACTTGGTATTGTTTTTTTGAATCTTCCCTATTGATGTTTAGGACTGCAATTGTTCAGTCTCTTATTGGCGTATGTGCATCCTGTATGAATTGCCTGGATACAGGCCTAATTCATAATCATTATGAGCAAAAATGGATATTGTCTAGTGGAATCCAGAATGTGCTAACCACTATCCATTTTTGCTTATAATGCTTGTGAATTAAAGCAATATCGAGACAATACTCACAATATGCACATATACAAATAAGAGACGGACCAATTGCAGTCCTAAACATCAATTGGAAGATTTAACCAAGCAATACTAAGTGAATTTGATTAATCATTGTTTAGATTTTAACTCATATAAACAATGATAAATTTATAATATCCCTATGAATAAAAAAACAAAAAAGTTCTGACATTTTTTACGCTTAATGTAAGTCATATAAACTGACTTGTACAAATATACAAATATATCTCAGATCACTTTGATCGAACTGGTTAGCGTTTAATAGCGAGTTAGGTTTCTACGGGATGGCGTCGCCAACCCCATGCCCAACCACCGACTGCCCCGACGTGCAATGTTTTGTGGTGTAAGAGTAGGTTGAAAGAAAGCTAAAGGCAACCAAACCAAAACGTGGCACAAACCCATGAAGTCATTGACAAGTGGACTGAGCCATGTTGGTAGGTGTAGACTACCTAGTTGGCATCCGCTAGACGAGTCCCGATTAAGACGAAACGTGAGTCCTAGATTCCACTGCTAGCCACAATCCATCTTTGATTAACTATGTTTCTTTTTTCCAATTACTAATTAAATCAAGTTTCAATTATAAATTTTACTTATTTGTTTGTTCAATGATTATTTTGTATTTAAAAACTAAAATGAATTATCAACATAGACTACTGAAATGAATAATTCATCCAATTTTGTCTTTTAGTATCATACATAAAAAGGATGAATGAGGAGTATGAATTAACAGATTTGTAACTATCTCCCTAACAACATACCTATCAATATAATGATATTCACTACAGTTGAACTAACAATATCAACTACCTTTTCAATCATTATCTACTAACAGTTTTAGTTTAATTACCAGTTTCATCAGAATTATCACTTATGTATTCTTTGGAAAATCATCGAAGTAGTTTCAACAGTGATCATCATCACCAACGGCATCAAAATGATACATTATTCAACACATTGAAATCTTCATCATCATTCTCATCAACGTCATGTATTGCATATGATGATGACAATGATTTAGATGAAGTGAGAATTTTTCTTAATAAAAATGAACATGATGTAACTGATGATCAAGATGCAACTAGTTATGAACTTTCTGAAGAATTATCAACAAAAGCTCTTCGAAGAAATTCATCTTTATCTCTTTCTTCTTTGTCTTCTTGTTCAGTATTATCAAAATCTTTTCATAGATCTATTCAATCAACTTCACTTAGAACATCTACACCATGTAGGGATATAAATTTCACCAATAATAAAATTGATACATATCCTCATCCTACAAAGCAAACTTCAAGTCGTAGAGTAGTAAGTGCACAATCACATAGACAACAAAGTAAAGAAAATCTTATTCCAAAAAGTAACCATGGTGAACAACATAGAACTAAAAATTATCACACAGATTCTGTTAAACAGATACCAAAGGAAAGCTTTACTGGAAATCAAATGAAAAATTATCATTTAGATAATCATAACAGTATTCTTGCGGAAAATCCCACCAGAAGTGAACAATTGGGTTGTAATACATCTTCTCAAGAAGTGTTAAACAAAAAATTGCAGCGGAATCAAACTAACAGTAAGAGAGACAAACAAATTAAAAGATATAAACTACAAAATAAACGGTTAGGTTTTGATAAAAAAAGCAAAACACACTATATGAACACTCAATATTGTTCAATGGACAATTCAAGTAAGTGAATCTATACATTAAAGATAGTAAATGTTTCTAGCCAAAATAGAATCGTTTGTTTGTTTGTCTTCATCATGATAAAATAACTGAACTTATTTCATGGATTGGTTGAAGTTAGACATCAACGCCGTTGGATGCCGGCTCAGTGGTCTATCGGTTAAGTGCTCTAGAGCAAGACTAGTAGGTCTTGGGTTCGAATCTCGCAAGGCGAGATCGTGGATATGCACTACTGAGGAGTCCCACAATAGGACGAAACGGCTGTTCAGTACTTCCAGGTTTTCCATGGTTGTCTAGGTTCAATTGACTCATGATATCAACTATATAATATTTCAGATTTACCTCTTTTTGCCAAATTCTAATGTATTAATTCGATTTGTTTATTTGTTTAATCACAAAAACATAGTAGGTTAGATTATAAGCAAGGATGGATAGTGGCTATCAAGAAAATTCAGAACAAAGAGCGTTTCGTCCTATTTTTAACACGTCATCTGGATGCACCTGCATTTCAGAGTTGATGTTCAGTTTGAGTTAGATTACTTCAGCTTTAGTGAAATCGTAATAAAGTACATTTTAAACTATATACTGAGAGTCTTCTCACCATTTTATGTAAGAATTCTTCATCCTAAATATACTAAAAATAACGTTTCAGTGAATTACGTAAACCACCTTGAATTGGAGAAGAGTATCATTGGAGAAATGATAACTGAGAAGATAAGAACATAATGAAAGCTTATTCATGCTACCTTATGAAGACGTTCAATTTGGAACCGCTTCATTAGTCATGATATTCTCAATGATTAAAAAGTATTTTAAACCATGACGAAAACATTAGCTGTAAGATAAATTCTAGTTTGCTGGTGTCATTGGAACAGTGTATATTACCTCAATGCTTGTAATCCATACCATCTCATGTAGATATTCAGTCAAATGTTAGTTTCATTGAAAAACAAATACTGGCGATTACTAAATAACGCTATCAAAATCATTGGCCATGACACTGTCTTCAAAATAGGAACAGTATACTTCGTTTACTTGAGATATTAATCATAAAAATCAATAGTTCATCAATCATGTAACCAATATTTTATTAGATGGTTCCTACAATAGAGCAAATTGTTTGATTCAGTAAAACGACTCTCTTATCTTGGTAGATAGAAAATACAAAATTACTTGGGAATATTCAACACTTATTTAGATTGGTAGAGTAGTCGTTTCACCCTATCGGCTGAATGAAACCATAGGAATCGGGATTGAACTATCTAGTTTATAGTGAAACGACTTTAATCTGAACCATTGAAACTAACACCACTCATACTTGTCTGCAGATAAAAAAGAAAAAAAATCTTAACATAATGAGAAATTCTTATCTTTTGATCATTATCAACATTACTCTCCTAATGCACAAAAGGAACTCAGTGTACAAATACTACAATCCTCTTTACCAGTTATGTAATCAAAGTGATTAAGGCCAGGCTATGTGGTTTGCTAATGATCTATTTACATAGAGTAGGTCAACAGCTGATAACACCATACGTGGTCAAGTGTAAACACTGGATAATTATATATGTTTCAATAATGACAAACTGTTTCATACAAAAGGGTATGATTAGATGATGTCAAAAAGAACATTTATAGAATTATAGTTTATGTTTTCTTATGATCATAAAATTATAGATTGTTTTTGAATACAACGGTACTAGTAACCTACCATGAAACTAGATTCAGTTAGTCATTCAGCTACAACGTAGGACCAGGCACATTTATGCATCGGTTCAAGTTGCCATACCTCGTTAGCACAATAAGATGAACATCGAATTCACAGAAGTAGTTAATTTAGTAGTGTTAATATATAAAAGAAAGATTGTATATAAGGATATAGTACAGGAAGAAAGAAAAGCAATTTTAATCTCATAGTTTAAGGGAAGATAGAGAGTGTATACACCTATGCCATTGTGATCGATTCTGAGCCATGTCACCTAGAGTTTCCAACCACTGAATACAATAGTCACGCCAATCAAGGTAGTCTGCATCTACCGACATGGCTTAGACTAGAAGTTAGTGACTTCAAGCTCTGATGCCACATTTTGGTTTGACCACCCCTAACTTTCTTCCAACCACTACTGAAGACATTCAAACCAGGATTCCAATAGTTGTGATAGATTGTGATCCATGTTACCGAGGTAAAATATTATATAATGGTTTATACGTTTTTGTAAATTAATACGATTGAGTAATTTGTGAATAACTTGATGTTTTCTTCCTGACGCTACTATAATTTTCCAGAGACCTGCGCTAAAAAAGATTTCTCTTCAACATACACTTCAAATGGGAATAAAAATGTACAGGAAAAAACAACAGATTTATCTCTCATGACGAATTCGACGTTATCTCGTCCTGCTAATTCCAACTCCATATGTCAAATGTATCATCATAAAAAATCTAATTCTCTTCGTTCAAATGATCATCAATTCATTCGTGTACTTTCATCAGATAAAGATAGACGTGCAATTATTAAAACTGAAAATGAAAAACGTCAAGCAATAAAACAAATTCAATTATTAGCCTCTGAAGAAGCATTAATATTGGCTAGGGAAAAAGCACTAGAACGTAGACAAACTAAATTAATAGAAATTCATAAAAATTTGCAATTGAAACATAAACAAGCTGAAATTCGTAGAAAAGCTATTGAAGCTTCAAAACAGGTAAGTAATTTCGAACCATAATAGCACGAAACGACCAACCAGTGCTTCCAGATTTTCCATGATGGTCTAGCTTCAATTGACTCATGATTTCAACTATGACAATATATTATTGATCTGATAACTGTATAACTTATTTAATGGCTCCTTCAAAACATTCCATTCTTTTGAATAACAATAAATTTAGTATACATGGAAACATCATGGTTCAGAAAACAGAACCTAATAATTCACAAGCATTGTAAGCGAAAATGGTAAGTGAATTAAGGCTATATCGAGGCAATATGCATAGTATGCACATATGCTAATTAGAGACTGACCAGTTGCAGTCCTAACACATCGATGGGAGGATTCAAATAAACAATATTAAATGAATTTAAATTTCATTGCACAAGAAAGTGGTTATCAGGACTCAGTGGCTGAGTGGATAACCTGATGGTGTTTGAAGCGAAAGGTACTGGGTTCGAGTCACAAAGTGAACATCAACTGTGAGATGCAGGTACATCCAGCTGACGAGTCCTAAATGGGACGAAACGCTCGTCAAACTGTATTCCACTGCTAGTCACTATCCATCTTTGCTTACAGAACCTAATAATGTTGAGATGATCTTGAAAATTGTTTGCAATAGATATCATGACAAGCCCAGGAAACATTAAGAAGCATTTTATCCAATCAGCGTTTGATTAGAAGTTTTGCTAGGTATATCTGGAAAATGAAAAGTCACATGTAGAGGTTCTGATTGGCTGATTACTACACTGCTGCTATGTTTAGTAGTATTCTAGAATTTTCAGGAAAAACCGAGGACCTCTAAAATGCTATAAGAACCTTATATTTTCTGTACAAAAATGAGCCTCTGGAGAAAAGTGTTCCTCTCATATTTTGCGCCTTTTCACTCGTGTTCAATTCGCTGTGTAGTTTTTGCTTGGGGGTTACGAGACTAACTTCGGATCCGAGTATAGTGTTCAATTAGCAAGACTTATCAAATGATCTTTCGAAGAAAAACATATAAAAGTTTGAGAAGATGGATTTGGAATGGTGAATTATTTAATGATTGTAACAATCCAATAATTTAACATGGTGGAGAAGATTTGTAGCTTGAATGGATGATTTTGATGGAGTTTTGTTCTTTGATCTGAATGGTTTCGTCGTAGAGTTTTCATCATTCTTCTGATCTATATCAATCATTTTCAAATGTCAATGAGTTTCATTATTTTATTGTTACTACTGTCGATGATCTTTATTTCTCTTGTTGATATGAAGTAAAATTCAGGCAAAATTCATATTGTATAAACCATGTTATAATTTTTTTGAAAACTCGGTTGAACTAAACTACTTTCTATAATATTTTCCATAAATAACAGAAACCTTGATGGATTCATGGTTTAGTTCCTTAAAATTTTTAATTTCTCATATTTAGCAAAGATGGATAGTGGATAGCAGTGGAATACAGTTGGACGAGCGTTTCGTTCTATTTGGGACTTGTCAGATGGATGTATCTGCATTTCAGAGTTGGTGTTCACTTTGTGACTCGAACCCAGTACCTTTCGCTTCAAACACCATCAGGTTATCCACTCAGCCACTGAGTCCTGATAACCACTTTCTTGTGCAATGAAATTTAAATTCATTTAATATTGTTTATTTGAATCCTCCCATCGATGTGTTAGGACTGCAACTGGTCAGTCTCTAATTAGCATATGTGCATACTATGCATATTGCCTCGATATAGCCTAAATTCACAAGCAATACGCACAGTATGCACATATGCCAATTAGAGACTGATTAGTTGCTGTCATAAAAACATCAACGGGAAGATTCAAAACAGACAATACCAAGTGAATTTCTCACATTTTTTCATGTTTCATGTTCATTATTCATTCTGATAGAAATCTATGTGTCTTCTATAAGTATAAATTATCTAAGAAATTCGATACTGTTTCGTTGATTTTTAAACTTTATTTTCCTTGAAAGACTTTTTCTAAGTTAAATTAACAATTTAATATTGCGATTCTTATTGCAGTTTTATAATTACTAAAGCCTGAACTTACTTACTTATGTCTGTTACCCCTCATGGAGGAGTATAAGCCGTCCATCAGTATTCTCCATCCAACCCTGTCCTGAGCAATCCTTTCCAGTTGTTATTCATCGTTTTCATATCTGCTTGTATTTCCCGGCGTAAACTGTTCTTTGGCCATCCATTTTTCCGCTTCCCTTCCGGATTCCATGTTAGGATTACCCTCGTGATGCAGTCCGGTGATTTCCTTAATGTGTGTCCGGTCCACTTCCAACGTCTTTTCATAATTTGCTTTTCAGTTGGAACCTGGTTTGTTCTCTTAATTAATAGGCTGTTACTGATGGTTTCTGGCCAATCGACATTGAGTATCTTGTGTAGACAACTATTTATAAATACTTGTACCTTTTTGATGATGGTTGTAGTAGTTCTCGAATTATCAGTTCGATACATTAGAACAGTGTTAACGTTGGTATTGAAGATTGTGACTTTGATATTGTTTGATAGTTGTTTTGAGTTGCATATTTTGTTTAACTGTAGGAATAACGCCTTTGCTTTGCCCATACTCACCTTAACATCTGCATCCGATCCTCCTTGTTCACTGATGATGCTTCCCAGGTATGTGAACGATCTCACATCTTCCAGAGCTCCTCCATCACGGGTGATTGGTTTAGTGTTCTCTGTGTTGAATTTGAGGATCATGCTTTTTCCCTTGTGTATGTTGTGGCCTACTGATGCAGATACTGCAGCTACACTAGTTGTCTTCATCTACATTTGTTCGTGTGTATGGGATATAAAGGCCAGATCATCTGCGAAGTCCAAATCATCTAATTGATTCCGAGCTGTCCATTGTATTCTTTGCTTCTCCTCGGATGTCAGGAACACTTTATTACATCATTGATTTTTAACTTCTAAGTAGAAGAAAGCAAAAAAAGACTTAATTAAAACATGATAAAATGATAAATATTTATTGTCATAGTAAAACAATGAAACCGTATTACAAATAAGTGAATAATATTGTGTTATGTTGGGATAGAACTTTACAAATCAGAAGTTCGGTACTCTTCTGATAACGACGGATCTCTCGGAGTGCAACGGTCCCGGATCTGATTCTTAAATTTCTATTCCGGCGTTTGGTCCGAGAAATCGTCCAAGATTTCAATATTTTGTTATTCTTGTATTATTTACCGTAAATATCACATTTACGAGAAAGCTAATATTTCTGTAAAAATTTAAAATATTACTATTTCAGTAATATCGTCAGTTATATTGACTGTAACTAGCAGTGAAATATACGACGTGTGTTTTGTTCTAAATGAGACTCTGGAGTTAGATCTACTTACACCCATGTTAGTGTTCTCACCGGGATTCGAACTCGCAACTTACTGCTGACCACTATCAAATTTATTTTTAATAATGCTTGTGAATTTATGAGAGTGTAGTGAACAAGAAGACGGGTGGGGACAGTCGAAAGTATTTTAGCACAACATTACAAAATATCTCATTAAAATATGAGAACCATATAGTGAACAGTTAATTTGCAAATTATCAATTCATTGACTCAATCTTGACTGTTCCTTCTGCAAATATCCATCCATAGTCTCCGATTATAATTATTCATGTATTTTCGTACCAATTGACTACCGTTCCCATTCTTTCGTTATCGGTCTTCTGCCAAAAATACATTCAATGCCCGATCATCATCATATACTACTTCTATGGATATCAGTAACCCACACTACAAGAGTACTAAAACAAAACATTCAGAATATACATATACCAAAAGGTGATGAATCACCTTCAGTTCATAAATATTGACATAAACCTTAAAAATCAATTAAATGTGTAGATGTTTACCCTACTCTTATGAGCTTCTCATATATACAGTTTCTTTCATAATCATCAAATGAACAATGGTTTCCACTAATCTGTTTTTCACCTTAATGTTTTGTATTCTCTCTTTCTCTCATTATGTATAGAATCCAATTCATTAAGAGTAACCATACACTTTATTTATAAAAGTAACCCTAATATATATTTTTTTATAATGGACTATCATATATGCATATATTTATATACTTTATTAACCTCATCATCAAAATCTGTTTTTTCTTCTAATCTTCAACAATCGTTGATAATGGTGTACAATACACCTAAATGGGTGCTAAATACCATCTGTTTTTATTTTATTTTCTAAACTTGTTATAAACTGTAAGGATACTTGTTATAACTTTAGGGTTTCTTGTTATAACCGTCCTTTCACTTTTTAAACGTATGTAGGATGTTAATTCCCCTTAGACAAATATCTACACTAGATTTCCAACCCCAGTGTCGTCTATTCTACAGGACTTCAACACATAACTCAGATCAAGAACATGAGATTAGCCTGACTATAAAGTCAATATATTTTCACATCAAAATCCGACACAATTCAACAACAAGGAACAGTCGATCAATAACAGTCTCCACCATCTCACAGTCAATATATAATAAGGATAGGGGAATACATATAACACATATGACACCTGTCGTCCTATCTAATGTTTGACTCAGCAAAACAATCAATCATTGTCATTCTCTCCCATACATCAAAACTAGTATTTCTAGTAGGGTGATTTTAATTAGATCCAACGTATATTATTGTTGTATCCCATGAAGATTTACGAGTGGTACTTTTGAGACCCGTTTATGAACCAATATGATGTGTATATTGCCTATTGTATGACTGTTAAGTAACTAAACTATTCATATTCATGTTCCTTTTATTATAAACTTCCTTTTGACCCATAGACTATTACTATACGATTTACCATTCTTCAGTTATGCCTCAGTCTATTAATTACTGTCTCCCCCTATTCACAGTCACATTTAGCTGAATATTGTGCAAATGTTATTTTCTATTTTATTGGTATGATGTGTTCAGTATGATTGGTATATAAACTCAGTATGTTTGAGAATAATGATTAATATTGAAGAGGCTGTTATTAGTGTTCTGGACTTAACTGGCTAGGTTAGGCAGAAAGCAGGACGGATAAGTACTCAAGACTGCTCATACAGCTTTTTTTGTATCATTGCTTTGATCGATAAATTCACGGCTCTTTAATTGACGGTCTTATAACTTCATATATATAACAGGGCACCCACTTAATCCATATAACAACTATCCTTTAGATCGATGAATACCTAAAATTTTATTCTGGTTTTGTTCCCCCCCCCCACCGTGTATTGTTTTATAAGTTAAGTTTTGATCTAATTTTTTAAGGATTAGATTAGTAGAATCAAAATGAATGACTTTACAGTATTTAGCTTGTAAACAACATTTTCAATATCATTTCAAAATCAAGATTCTCAAGTGATGAAATGAATTGTTTGAATTAATTTTGAGTTAGTGATTATAATGTTGGTTGCTATGTTAAGCCCCATATGCTATATTGTAGCTTATGGACAGACCAGTTGATTCATTCTATTTGAGTCATGTTTTTTTGACCTTGTTAATTATTCACTTATTAAACCCTGACTGTTTTTATATGAGCGTATATGTGTGTTTTAATTTCTTATCCTATTCATCATATGTCTTCTGTAACTTATTTTAATCTGGTTATAAATATTGATTAAGGCTTGATTACATGGTATTTTGGCTTATCCGCCATCTCTAATGCATGTCATTTCACTTTGCCTCGTCCCACTAATTGTCCTATCCAGATCAATGAATGTGCAAAATTATACATATTCAAAACTTCATTCTCATATTTAACTTATTTTAATTCCGTTATAAGCTAATGCGATTTAAGTCGATGAAATATATAAGAGGATAGTCGACATATGTATTTCGATGACAGTCAGCATACAATCCGATTGGAGTCAGAACCAGGGTTACTAAAATGATATTTTATCAAATTTATTGTTATGAATTAGATGTACCGGCGAAGCGGTACAGCCGAGAGTGGGGAGAGTCCGCTCTACCTCTCTAAATGCTCTCACATGACCACGCATATATAGCCTCTGCCAGGGAAGTCCTACTCACTGCCTTCTCGTGGCGGGGGTGTTGTTTACGAAAGTGAGAGGACGAAAAGCGAATGTCCGGCGCTTTAACCGGGTTGGTGAACACGGCGAGTCCACCCTGGGGGAGTTGGGGAACCCTCATTCCAAATCAATGGTGCACATGGTCTCCAGTATCCTGAGGGAACAAATGGGTTATGAATCAATCGTTGGTCACCGGCTACCATGGGACTGCATCTCCTTACGATGCTCCACTGCCTTGTGGATCAGATCTTTAGGTCAAAGTCTCCGAGTTTTGGCCTTCTAAGAAAACCACCAGCTTCAGATTGGGCACCTGGGCAGTATCACAGTCCTCACACAAATCAAATGTGTGGCGCATATGTATCTGGTGCTACCTTGTTATAAATTGTGATATATAATTAGTTATTATCACCTATCATAGATCATAATTTATATTATTGATCTTAATTCTTCAATAAGAAACCAGTTGAGAATAGGGGTAAATAAATTAAATAAACTATTTAATCATAGAACATCATTTGCACATTTTCTTTTCATTTGTCCATCTTTATTTAAATAAATTTAATAGCATAAATCATTCAAACATTGGACTTCATTCAAGGCAGTTGTAGATGTTCAGTAATGTTCTCCATTATCACTACTTTGTTTACTTATTCTTTATTTTTAATCCTCAATAAGTGCTCACGCGCGAGACTGATATGTCCTGGGTTCGAATCTCGCTAGACGGGATCGCGGATGCACCCTGCTGAAGAGGAGTCCTACAATAGAACGAAACGGCCGTCCAGTGCTTCCACATTTTCCATGGTGGTCTTATTTATTTATTTATTTAAACACATAAATATTGGTACAAAGGGGCACCGAATACATATGCGGCACACAAATCTCATTCGATTTGCGTGAGGGCTGTGATACTGCTCAGGTGTCTAAACTGAAGCAGGTGGTTTTCTTAGGGGACCACACCCCGAGCCTTTCACCTAAAGATCTGATCCACAAGGCAGTAGAGCATCGTGAGGAGATGCAGTTCCATGGTAGTCGGTGACCAACGATTGGTTCATACGCCATTTGTTTCTTCAGGATGCTGTAGCCCATGTGCACCATTGATTTGGAATCAGGGTTTTCCAACTCCCCTAGGTAGACTTTCCGTATCCACCAACCCGATTAAGGTGCCGGACATTCGCTTTTTGTCCTCTCAATTTCGTAAGCAACAGTAATGCTGTGAGAAGGTAGTGAGTAGGATTTGTGTTGCAGAGGCTATATAATCGTGGCCATGTGAGAGCATTTGGAGAGGGAGAGCGAACTCTCCCAACTCTCGACCGTACCAGGGCATTTGGGAGCTAGCTTCAATTTATTCATCATCTCAACTATTAACATTAAATAATCCTTTTTGATAAAATTCTTTGAGAGTAGGAGTTTTACCATCTCTGTTAATAGATTGACTACAGAAGATGTTTATGAACTATCTTAAAAGAAGTAGTCTTGCTGAAATTCACTCACCTTAAAAGGAGGCTTACATACAATAAAAATAATTGACTCTCAATTATAACCGATTATCGTTTCTCTTTCCTGAAATGACAATGAATCATTTAGATGACTTCTGATTTCTATACTTTTGAACTGCGGAACCCTTCTCCTCCACATACCTGAATAACTGCCTTGTTGATTACTGTTAAACATGCAGAGTACTTTAGAACAATATATCAATATCCTTGAAGATTGTATAACGATAGATGGCCAATTTTTGAAGCCTTATTATGTAATACAACAACATGATTCTACAGATTATAAATAACTATGGAGACATAGAAAGCCCTAAGAGTGAACAACATTCATTCACTAACTATTTTTCAATATAAGTTGTTCTTATTCTATTTGAAAAAGCTTGTTTTAATAGATTATATTATTATTATTATTATTATTATTATTATTATTATTGTTATTATTATTATTATTATTATTATTATTATTATTATTATTATTATTATTATTATTATTTCATGTATTGAATAGGAACGCTTCAATCAGTTGTCTAAACAGTCACAAGATTACGACCGACAAAAAAGTATCTCTAACCGACAGCAGCTTCAGAAACCTTCTAACAGACTTCCCTCTTGTAGATCTAACTTACTCCTTAACTATCGTAAAATGAATAACAACAGTATAAAAGTATCTTCATTAAAGGATACAAATGAATCAATGATTACATCATCAGTAACAACAATAACAACAATCAATACGAATACTGTTACCGCTACTATAAAATGTCCTTTTGGTTTCGGTTCCAGTACACCAAGATTTGTATGTTATACAAGTAAAGAATTAATGCATTTCAAACATTCTCCTGTAACAAAGATAAACAATTCAAATAGGGTTCATTCTCAATTTTGTAACTATGGTGATAGGATTATTAGTTCTTCCAGACAAAATAGTTATACTAAACAATCATTTATTAAAAGTGAATATTATTATTATACAAACAAACGTCTTGTTAAATCAGCACATCAAGATACTACTAATCATATTAATAATACTAATGATAAACTTCATTATCAAAATTGGCAAAGTTTATCTCTTTATTTGGATTGTGATTCAATTAATACAAGAACATCCATAGGAAGTGATCAGTCAATCATTCCAACGGAACAACCAGGCGGAAAAGTTCTTCTGTCCAGTAAAAATAAACGTAAGTTATTTCTTTAAGATACTGTTGTTGTATAATTGTTTTGAAAAGTTGAAAGGTTTTTCGTATCTAATAAGTATGTATGCTAGGTCACTTAAAAAGGCAACAATCCACCAAAACATCTAACTACAGGATCGATGTAGTCGTGAAGTCCCATTTCAGAAAATTCGTATCTCGACTGGAGAGGTGTTTGAGGCGTCCGTGTTACGTCCTTGATCTGTCTTCCCATTTTCGTGCCGACGATAACTTGTCTAATGTAGTTTAGGGCTTTGATGCGATAGGTTGACTGGCTTAACCTTGAGGCTAGTATGCGTGAGTTCGAAGCGAGGTAGAATGAAGAAAGCTATTCTATCACTCGATTGACTGACAGGCACGCGAGAGAGAGACGACAAGACAGCTGGAACACTACTCGCTTTATTCCGAAATCCGATCTGGTGGTCGATTTCAGATTAGTGTAAAAAGGATACATCAATAAATAGATGACTAACCCTACCGCAATGTACATTTAGGAAAATACAATTCTGGGATACTCAAGGAGGAAGTAGAGCGCAAAGATTAAGTCTGAATTACAATAGCTATGGAACAGAAAAGGCTATGGCAGTGAATCATAAATCAAACGAAAGCTTATGATCTATAGAATAGACTAGGGACAAAAGTAAATGTTACTGTTTTACAAGCTTTGAGTTAAATGAAATAACGTCCCCAAAAATAGCTTCCGTAGTTTTCCAAAGCTTCTTGCTTCTCTGTTCACATCAGTCTGTATCTATGGAAGAGAAAAGGCTTCGGTAGGGCAAATGACACCTGGCAGCTGTGTCTAGTGTTAAACTGACTACCAACAGTCGAATAGAGATCGATCACATCAAATTATGAGAATAGCTGTGTTTAAACGAAAATACAAGAAATACGAAAAACTGAACTTAACTATTGTAAAGTTGAGCTATTGTAAATGCATCGGCAGAGAGAGTAAATGTTACTAGTTCATGTAAATACTCAAGAATGCTACATGACATTGAGCATTATTCTGAATGCATAAAAGTTCTTCGAAGTAAAACGGGTTATTGAATATTATTAAGTAGTATAACAAACTTAACAAAAAATGTGCTGGAATAAAAAGAGAACGACTACATAAAATGTAGACTAACTAACCAAATTTCATGGTTTGTTTCATACTTAGCTACCTTCAGTATGCAGTGATTCTACAGCATAATGTGTGCTATCTTATCTATCTTTATGGCACTAATAATTTGCATACTACAGAAAGAGAAAGACAATAATCGAGCTGACTAATAATGTACCAGTATTGTAATTTCATTTATCAGCTGAAGTACGTTTTACATAAGATAAAACTTTTGCTGGGTTACAATAGGCAGACCTATAGTATTCTTCGTTTGCTAAGAGATTCTGTTGCGATTTCTCACATCAAGTATCATGTATTATCATTTAATCTTACCATATATATATAAAGCTCTAGGAACAACCCAGTTGATGGTAAACAAAAGCCCATTTATTAGAGTCATTAATGTTTCCAAGTGACTCCGTATTTGATAAATATGTGTCTTGATAATGCGAAAACATTGTAAAATATAAGATCTTATGTATCCTTTATTAAACAGATTACTTATGATCATAATTGATTGATCACTGGGTGGTGATCAGGAGGTCGGTCACGGCCCGAATAGCTCAGCGGTAACGTCTCTGATTGTGAAACTGGGTGACACGGGATCGAATCCGTCAAGGAACACCAGTTTCATCAAGATTACTGGTACACTTTGCTGATGAGTGTCAAGTAGCACGAAACCCCGGGTCCAGGTTTTCCTGTTGTCCACCTCCAACCACCAGATTACTTATGATTTAAGAGAAATCAAATTGTTTGTTTCTTGTTCAAGAATTATTTGCAAATGATGTTCGGTATGAATCTATTTCATTATGAAAACCTCATGAAAATGTAAAAAAAAACACACTTTACAAACATCCCATCGAGGTTTAAAGTTAACCCACAGTGTTTATAAGGGATACTCTTGAATATGTAAAAGAGTAATAATTGTGTTTAGACTTTTATCATGTCAGCGACCGGTATGATCATTAAACTATATGTCTCTGTTAATTTTGTCGATACTTAAACATATCCTTTGACATAGTTCATAACTAGTAAGCATTTAAGAAGTTTTATTCGTCATTTAGTTAATTATTGTTCTATATCTTTCACTTTCTGATTTGACCTGAAATATATTACTCATGTCCTTTTCTCTACTACTACTTATATTATTAACTTCGGATTTTTATAGTTGAAAGCGTCAGCCAATTGAAGCTAGACTACCATGGAAAACCTGGAAGCACTGGACGGTCGTTTCGTCCTATTGTAGGTAGGTCCTGGGTTCGAATCTCGCTAGTGCGGGATCGTGGATGCGCACTGCTGAGGAGTCCCATAATAGAATAAAACAGTCATCCAGTGCTTCCAGGTTTTCCATGGTGGTCTAGCTTCAATTGGCTCATGATCTTAACTATGAAAAAACTTAATCTCCACAAAACCCCATCTGATTCGAACTTTTAGTCATATCAGACTGTTCAGGATTACCGGAACTGAATTGAAGTACATCTAATTCCGAACAATTTTACTATTCTGATATATATATTACTGACAGGAGATTATTGTTTCAGTAGTACATTTTTAATTTGAGATTTTTATTTTTTTATTTTTGATAATTTTATTTCTCTTACTTATATAATTCTGCAGATCGAATTCATAAAACTACTACTAACAGTGTTGATGGTAATGTTGACAGTCGAAGGTTAAATTGTTCAACACAGTCCTCTTCAGTAAGTTCACATTTGTGATTACATTTTTTTCATATAATATAGAGATAGAGAAATTGCATAATTGAATAAAAATTATGTAAGACAGTACTTTACTTTATGTACGATTCATTACTGATTTAATGTACGGTTAGATCTAGAATTCTGATGACTTATAAAAAGTACTTACTTACTTACGTCTGTTACTCCCAATGGAGAATAGGCCACTGACCAGCTTTCTCCAACCCACTCTGTTTTGGGCCTTCTTTTCTAGTTCTATCCATTTTTTGTTCATTCTTCTCATATCTATCTCTATTTCTCGGTTTAACTTAACTTACAGAAAGTAAGCTAATATTAATCTCTGGATTCAAATGAGAAATGCTATCTGACATTCAAAGTTAAGTTAATCTTCTAATGTCACTAATACTGACTTAATTTAACTTCAGCTAGGTCGAAATATGAGATCTGTAAATGCCTCTTTGATTTGTCAGCTGTTGAGAATATTTTGATTGAAATCCTCAAGATCAATGTTGTTTCAGTTTAAAGACAATGCTTGAAACGGATCCCAATCTAACTTTTAAATATTCCTTTGTGCTATTCACTCACCACTTCATTTGTTCTCTCCGATCTGTATTTCCAACGTTTTGTTTACGACTGTGACTTACAATGTAGAATTCTTAGTTTAACCTCTTGTTAATATATTCCATTGCTGTCGGTTGATTGGATAGTATCAACTAAGAGTGAAATACATATGTACTAAGTACTACACTGTTTATAACTGCTTAATTGATTTTTACGGCTAAGGAATATAAAACGAATCGGGACTATAGAATTGCTTTATATTAGACACTATACCAATAAACCTTTTGTGGGCATAAAAGTCAAAAGTCAGCAGAAATGTAAACTTCGAAAGAAAAGCATCATAGTACAATGTTTACAATTCAGTGTACTTGTAAGAATGGCTCGTTGGCAAACTCAAGGAGGCCTAGAAAGATTCGAAGATATTCTATCCAATCACCGCTAAGGGAACATTCTAGAGTGTTGACGTGTAGCTCCCCTATTGGATGAATAAGAAGAACCCCCTATATGCTTATTGGCTGTCCGAAATCATTATTTACTTACAACCAAAAACCATAAATACGTGAGATTACTGTACTATATTTGACACTGTGTTGGGAATAATATTCCTACTTACTAGTCTTCTGTCTTCTCATTTTGCGACTTGGGAGGGTTCTAGCTTTCGAATGCTCAAGTATTACGTGACATACTAAGAATTTAAGTTCGAGATATAAGAGTTCTATCATCAAAGATTTATAAATATGTCTGTAAAAATGTTTCTTATACCTAAATCTAAACTATTTGCTGTCTTTATTAAACAACTTTATACATTTATGTAAACCTCCAGCTAACATTCACTATCCACTTCATCTTGGAACATATTATTCTATGTTATTTATGATTTTATTTCAATATACCTGTGCATTAATCAGAATTATGTGATTTAACAGGTTATAGTTAGTGTTGGGGCGATCCTGAAAATTTCTTGCAATAGACAAGAAAGGCTTAATAAACATTAAGAACTATTTAATCCTATCAGCGCTTGATTAGAAATTTTGTTAGAAACATCACGAAAATGAAAAGTCATATGTAAAGTTTCTGATTGGCTGACTACTACACTACTACTATGCTGAGTAGCATTCCAGAATTTTTCAGGAAAACCCAAGGACTTCTGAAATACTATAAGAACCTTATATTTTCTGTACATGGATGAACCTTTAGAGTAAAGTGTTTCTCGTATATTTTGTGCCTTTCCTCTCATATTCAAGTTGCTGTGTAGATTTAGCTTGGGGGTTACGAGACTAGCTTACGATTCGAGTATAGCAATCAATTTGCAAAACTTATCAGTTGGGAAACAAAGTAAAGATCTCAACAACAGTCTTTACTGTAAATTCACTATCACATAGACTGACTTTTGCTCATCGATTTACTTCAACGATGAAAATATCTAGGAACCAGCTCAGAGAACAAACCAACATCAAAATTAAAATTTATGTTTATGAATTAAATTTTCAGTAGAAGGATTAAAATTTGATGTTGAACTATTTATCATTTAAAATGGCTAAAGAAGATTAGCAGATTCTGTATACTAATGAGATATATATTCATTAACTCAAATCATTCTTTTATTCTCTTAAGTAAATAAAGTGGTAATTTTCAGCTGTTTGTTTGTTTCTTTACACACATATATAATGGAGCAAAGGGGCACCAGATATATATAATTCACACAACTCTCATTTGATTTGTGTGAGGGCTTTGATACTACCCAGGTGCCAAAACTGAAGCAGGTGGTTTTCTTAAAGGGTCATACCCCGAGCCTTTGACCTGAAGGTCTAGTCCACAAGGCAGTGGAGCTCGTGAGGAGATGCAGTCCCATGGTAGCGGGTGATCGACGATTGGTTCATACGCCATTTTTTATTTGAGGATACTGGAGCCTATGTACACCATTGGTTTGGAATGAGGGTTTTCCAACTCCCCTAGGTGGACCCTCCATATCCACCGACCCGGTTAAAGCGCCGGACATTTGCTTTTCGACCTTTCAATTTCGTAAACAACACCGGTGCCACGAGAAAGCAGTTAGTAGGACATCCCTGACAGAGGCTGTATACGCGTGGCCGTGTGAGTGCATTTGGAGATGGAGAGCGGACTCTCCCCACTCTCGTCCGTACCAGGGCAATTAGGGGCATCTTCAGTTGATTAATAATTCATTTGTAGATAGGATTAGGTCTAAGATTAAGTTGCCAATGTTTCTGTGCAGTTCAAGTTAAATTTCTGCACATTCATGAATAATTTAATGAATCATAAACAATATAGACATTTTTCTCAAGTTCATAGAAATCGGTTTTGATAACACTGACAATTTGCCTCTGCCCAAATAGTACTTATTATAATATCGGTCATGAATTTATTTCATTTTCTAGAAATCCTGATATTATATATTTTAGGTCTCTCATTGAGTTTCTTTTACTGTACAACCCTGAGGTATATTAATAGCTTGATCTAATGTTTTATTTTTACTTCATTACGAATATTCCAGAAGTCACCTTCATTCATTACAAAAACGAAATCTATACAGAAGTCAACAAATTCTCCTAGATCAATGAGAATAACAAAACGATCAAGTATACAATCACTGACATCCATCATTTTATCATCTTCAACATTTAATTCATCAAAACAATCCTTACCTGTAAAACAAAGCTGTAAAGTACTACAACAAAACCTTAATAAATATAATTGCTTTGAATCTAGGAATATCAATAATACGAAACATACAATAGTTCATTGTCAAACTGTAAATTCTCATAAGTTACTTGATGCAGGTAAACGAAACCTAAAACAAATGAACTCTTTAGATATTCAATCATTAAATAAATCATTCATTGATCAGAGGAAAGCAAATCCGAATATAGACATGAAAGTAGATCAATCAGAAAATGAAAGAATTGAAAGGAAAAATGATGAAAAACTACCCATAATAATAACAACAACTCAAGGAAATGTACAGAAGACATCAATAGACAGGTATGTATATTCATGATTTATTTAAACTGTATTCCGTTGTTTTCTGTTCTCGATGTAACGGAATAAACATATTTCTTCTTTAAAGCAATTAATCCTTTTCATATATTTCAATAAGACAATAAGAAGACGGAGTTGATCAGGAAAATGCTATGTATTTGAGCTACATATTTCGAACAATATGGTCACATATCTATTTGACAAGGCATTTTAAATGAAGATTCATCATGGTTAAATCAATGTAAATTCAAGTAAACAAAGTAATAATTGTAAATAGAGGAGAGAAAAAAAATTTACATCGCATAGAAAGAAAAGTAAATTGTCGCTTGACACTAGGCCGTAAGGCGTGCATGCATGAACAATGGAATTAGAGAAGATGAACTGATATTTGTCAGTCAGTCAGTCAGCTACAACGAAGGACCTGGGATATTTATGCATCGGTTCAATTTGCTATACCTTATTAGCACACCAAGATCAACGCTAGATTCATAGAAGTAGGTAATTTGGTGGTGGCAATATATAAAAGATAGGTTGTATATAAGGATATAGTATAGGAAGGAAGAAAGTTATGAAGCAATTTTAGTCTCACGGTTTAAGGGAAGATAAGGAGTGTATACACCTTCGCCATTGTAATCGATTCTGAGCTATGTCACACAGAGTCTCCAATCATTGGTTACGATAGTCGCACGGACCTCAACCAAGTACTCTGCATCTACTAACATGGCTCAGACTAGAAGTTAATGACTTCAAGCACTGTTGCCAAGTTTTGGTTGTTAATTTGCAAATTAACTCCTTGTTGTATGGTCATCAGAATCTAGTGAGATAGTCTGTAATTTGTGTCTAAATACATTCGATTGTCCCCAATTAGTGTTTTGTTCACTACACAAGTTGTTTCTATACACATAAGGTGGAGGATTAATCTACAAATAGCCAAGGCTTCTATAAACCTTGATAACTTCATTTGATTTACCTTTATTTATTTTCACATAAAATGCCTTGATAAGCGTATGTCTGACCAGATTGTTCAAAATGTATGGCGCAAGTACATTACATTTTTCAGATCATCTCTGTCTTCTCATTATCCTATCAATATTTTTTCTTGTTTTTTTTGGAAATCCATGTAATGGAATCGTAAAACAACAGGACTGTTTTTGATCAAGTTCAGTCATTGATTCTTTTGCCTAAAATAGCTTTTACTTGTCTACCAATGTAGTTTGATTGTTGACGAAATATAATCCAACCTAACGGTGATTTCTTGATATCACTTTACACCTCATTGATTTACTGTTGAAAATTTGAAAAGAATTCCCAACAAAGACTTTGTGAGTTTAATTTTATGCTAATCAGCACCGACTATCAATCTCATGCCCTGGTCAGTCAAAATACTTATTTAACAAAATACCTTGGCAGCAAACGACCTGACGTAACTAAAGAGAATGCAAGGATTTATCATTTGGTGATAATAAATAGAGCGTTAACCCTTCAGCAACTTAGTTAACTGAGAACAAGTAAACCTGAGATTATTGATGTATGGGTTTTGTAAAGATTATTTAGTATTGTAGCTCTCATGGTGAAGTGATCTTATTTCGACAACAGCTGGAAACTAAGAAGCATGTGATAGCTTTTTCTTTTCTGAGTAGAACTTTCTGATCACCCTCATCTATGATTTGTCATGAAATTAAACTTGAAGCCTTCAGATCACGTGACTGTTGCTTAACCTCAATGGCACTGAGCCTATATTCAATATTTAGCAGATCTAACTTTAATCGGTTCACCATATTACGTAGTTATCTTCCAAAATCATTGATAAACAAGTACCTGACATTCAACATAGTTGAGATCTATTGACCACGGCCGTGAACATGAAGGTATTCAGTTCCATCTCATGTGGAGTCTTGGATGCGAAATGCTGAAGATTCTCAATAGCGTTAGACAGCTGTCTAGCCACTCCCTGATTTTCAATAGTTGCCTAAATAAAGTAAATTAGTGTTTTAAACTGTTAAACACGGAATTGTTTATATCTACAATGAAAGTTATAATTATTTAGTCATTTCAACTATGTTCTATTCTTCTTATTTATAAAGTTCGAATTCTCCTCCTACATTCAAAGACCATCAAATAATAGCAGACTTAATTATCGAAGAAATCCTACAAAACATAACAGATGAAAACATTTCAAAAACAACAGATGAACAATTTATGGAAACAGATGAAAATGAAGCTAAAACTGTAAAGCATCAAATGGAATCATTAGGTCTAACGTCTACTACTGAAGTTGAATCTTCAGTCTTATCTTTAACTTCTTCACTATCAACAGCATCAGAAGCATCATCATCGTTTTCACTATTATCAAACATGACAACAACTAATGGAACACTAACAGATACTCTAGTTGTTACAACTTCTGTCATGCAAATGTCACCTATAACAACTACTAATTCAACAAACCTTATAAACACTTCATTATGTAATAATTCATTAACAGTCTTAAATGAATTAATGTCTAAAACATTACAGTTTAATTATTCAACAAAATCAATAATCAATAAAATAGATAAATCTATCATTAATGAACAATCAATAATCAATAAAATTAATAATATACAATTACAAGAGAATATAAATCATATACAATTAATTAATAATAATAATGATAATCAAATACAAATAAAGGTAATATACTTTTATTTGATAGTTGTCTTACTTGTTGTACTATATACTATATCCTTATATGTATAATCTTTCTTTGATTAAATTAACTACTTCTATGAATTCGATGTTCATCTTGTTGTGCTAATGAGTGAGGTTATAGCAACTTGGACCGATGGATATATGTGTGCTTCGTTCTACGTTGTAGTTGACTGACTGACTTAGCTTTATTCATTATTATATTTTTGGTACAATATAGAATTCTCAGCACAAAGTATTTCAACAAGTTTCAGTTTCTTATCTGTTGATTGAGCCTGACGATATATATTGACTGATTACCAATTAGATGTTAACAGTTCAGGAATCGACATTTGAATAATGTTCATTGTTTTCGATGTATATTGCCAGCAATTACGATGTCTGTGATTATACTCTTTCCTAATTTGTACAGATAAAAGTTTTGAACTTTTCACAAACGCACCTAAATTGATTATACAATTAATTGACATAATGATCTGTTGAAACAAACAAAAGACAGATAACTTGTTGAAATATATAGATGGTAGTGTAGTGCACAAAAACACTAATGGGAACAATCGAATGTATCTAAGCACAAATTACAGACTATCTCATTAAAATATGATAACCATACAGTAAATAGTTAATTTGCAAAATAACAATCAATTGTCTCAATCTTGACTGTTCTTTCTGTAAATATCAGTCTATCTTCTCCAGTTTCATCGTTCATGTATTTTCATATCGATTGCGCTTCGTTCCTGTTCTTTCCTTATCAATCTTCTACCAAATGCATTCTTTGCCTGACTGTTGGAATGTACTTTTGAACTTATTCTGTATAAATAACTTAGTTAATCATGTAGTGTACAATGTAGTAAAGATTACATTAAAAGTTAGACTTAATTACTGACACTTATTATCCCTCATGGAAGAGTATAGATTGCTTACCAGCATTCTCCATTTAACTCTATCTTTGGTAATCCTTTCCAGTTACTATTCATCTTTTTCATGTCTGTTTCCAATTCCCTACATATTGTGTTGTTTGGCCTTCTTCTTTCCCATTTTTCTTAAGAATCCCAAGTTAGTACTTGCCTTTTGATGCATTTTGGTGATTTCCTTAATGTATGTCTTATCCAATTCCAAAGTGTTTTCTTAATTTACACTGCAGCTGAAACCTGATTTGTTCTCTCACAGTAGACTATTGCTACCATTAAATTATTTACTTCTATGAATTCGGTGTTCATCTTCTTGTGCTAATGAGTAAGGTATGGCAAGTTGGACCGATGGATATATGTGCCTAGTCCTTCGTTGTAGTTGACTTGTTGTAAACAAGAACACGGGTGGGAACATTCGAATGTATTTAGACACAAATTACAGACTATCTCACTAAAATCTGATAACCATACAGTAAACAGTCAATTTGCAAAATAACAATCATTGGTCTCAATCTTCACTGTTCCTTCTGCAAATATAAGTCTATCTTCTCCAGTTTCATCGTTCATGTATTTTCATATCGATTGCGCTTCATTCCTATTCTTTCCTCATCGATCTTCTGCCAATATACATTCAATATCTGACCATCACCATATGCTACTTATATGGATATAAGTAGACCATACTACAGACTGACCGACTGAATGTACTTTTGAACTTATTCAGTATAAATAACTTAGTTAAATAAACTTTACAATTTAAATAAATAAATAGTTATTCATGTAGTATACAATGTAGTAAAGATTACACTAAAAAATATACTTAATTACTTACACTTGTTAACCCTCATAAAAGAGAACAGGTTGCTTACCAGCATTCTCCATTTAACTATATCCTGGGTAATCCTTTCCAGTTACTATTCGTCCTATTCATGTCTGTTTCCAATTCCCTACATAGTGTGTTGTTTGGCCTTCTTCTTTTCCGTTTTCCTTAAGAATTCCAAGTTAGTACTTGCCTTTTGATGCAGTTTGTTGATTTCCTTAATGTATGTCTTATCCAATTCCAAAGTGTTTTCCTAATTTCCTATACAACTGAAACCTGATTTGTTCTCTTTCACATTATACTGTTGGTGATGTTATCCGCCCAACGAACATTCTATTTTATTTTATTTTAGTTGTGAAAATATCCATAAATCAATTTAGTATGCTGATGAAAAATAGTCGTAAATGCGTTCTAGAATGATAAAAATTCTGTTTAGAAAAGAACCTAATCATCAAAAGTATCGGATGTTTTAAGTTACAAGTAACATTTTTGAATTGTTACTATGATCAACAAACTGAATAATAATTTAAGATTGATTACACAAAGCATCGATCATGTAACCGTAATGAAGGTAACAATTTTAAAAGATCAAGGTATGTAAACAAATTAACGATTAAGGAGGTTCAGATAATGATTTTTTCTGGTTAGCGTTTTTTTTAGCGAGTTGATTTTCTACGGGATGGGGTCGCTAACCCCATGCCCAACCCTCCTCCTTTACCCGGGTTTCGGACCGGCAGTAACCCCCAGAGGAGCTACAATATAATATGCACCAATCAAATTACACTTGATGGAGAAGCTTTGGAAGATGTGGAAACCTTTACATAGCTGAGCAGCATCATTGATGAACACGGTGGATCAGATGCAGATGTGAGGGCGCGGATCGGCAAAGCAAGAGCAGCATATTTGCAACTGAGGAACATCTGGAGCTCAAAACAATTGTCAACCAACACCAAGGTTAGAACTTTCAATACAAATGTCAAGACAGTTCTACTGTATGAGGCGGAGACGTGTAGATCTGCGAAAGCCATTATCCAGAAGATACAAGTGTTTATTAACAGCTGTCTACGCAAGATACTTCGCATCAGATGGCCAGACACTATCAGCAACAACCTAATGTGGTAAACAACAAACCAGATTCCAGCAGAGGAAGAAATCAGGAAGAAGCGCTGGAAGTGGATTGGGCACACCTTGAGGAAATCACCTAATTGCGTCACAAGACAAGCTCTCACATGGGATCCTGAAGGTCAAAGGAGAAGAGGAAGACCAAAGAACAAATTACGCCGAGAAATGGAGACAGACATGAGAAGAATCAACAAGAACTGGAAAGAACTAGAAAAGAAGGCCCAGGACAGAGTGGGTTGGAGAATGCTGGTCGGCGGCCTATACTCCATTGGGAGTAACAGGCGTAAGTAAGTAAGGTCCAGATAAATGATAATAATAATGATAAGAAAGGCTGTTTATAAATAATAATCACAAAATAAATAAATAACACATTCATCAGGTACTTGAATATTAGCCTCACTCGAAGTGTGAGAGCTGATGATACTATCTGGTTGCCTGAACCCAAATATGTGAAGTGGCACTCAAATCTGGGATTTAACGTTCAAGATCTGATGCTTCAATCACTAAGCCAGTGACCAATAACCAACCGAAGGAAGAATTCAGTGTTTAATTGATATTTCATATATTTACTAACACTAGTTAATAATTCTAATCACATGATAAGCTCAATGATCTCCAATGATTTTATGAAAATTGAAATCAGCTGTACCTACTAATTTATACTTTAGTAGTCTATTTTAAGAAAATGAAATAAATCTTACTCAATTCAACTATAACGAAGGACCAAGCACATATATGCATCGGTTCAAGTTGGTACGTCTCATTAGCACAACAACATGAACACCAACTTCATAGAAGTACTTATTTCAATGGTAGTAATATATAAAAGAAAGATTGTGTATAAGGATATAATACAGGAAGAAAGAATTTGTTGTTAGAAAGAAAGATATAAAGCAATTTTTATCTCACGGTTTAAGATAAGACAAAGAGTTTATACACCTATGCTATTGTGATCGATTCTGAGTCATGTCATCCAGAGTCTCAAACCATTGGTTACGATAGGCAGACGGACTCCAACAACGTAGTCTGCATCTACCAACATGGCTCAGACTAGAAGTTAGTGACTTTAAGAACTAATGTCATGTTATGGTTCGACTAACCTTAACTTTCTTCCATCCATCACTAACACTTGTGAGATAGATCTCTTTAAAGTAGAGCGAATAAATATCTATTTTATGATCACTATTTAGAAAGTTTAATTTAGCCTTCGAACAAGCTAATTTTTTTCGATTTACTCACGTTTTATAATAAGGGTGTTTTGTGGAAATTTCAACCATGAAATTACTAAAACCCCCACAAAACCCCCTTTTGAGGATAATCATTTGCTTACTAGTGACTGACTCCAAGATGTATTTCCTGGAGTTCTAGTGAGAAGCACTGACCAGTGGGGTTCAATCAGGTCTGTTGGGACATAGTAACTTACTGAATACAACGGTGGCCGGTTGCTCAATTTCCTGAATTGGTTGAAGTTAGACATTAACATCGTTGGATACCGGCCAGCTCAGTGATCTAGAGGTTAAGCGCGAGAGATTGATAGGTAGTGGGTTCGAATCATTTCGGTGCGGGATCGTGGATACTCACTGCTAAGGAGTCCCATAATAAGACGAGACGGCCATCCAGTGCTTCCAGGTTTTCCATGGTGGTCTAGCTTCACTTGACTCATGATCTAAGTAAAGAAGCCAATCAAGATAAGAGATGAGGTAGATTTCTATTTCATTCTAATAAGTCATGCTGTTGATGAAAATATTAACAACTTGTCTAAGATTTAAAACTTCAGCCTCTTAGTTTCAACAATGATATCGTCAATGATTTTTTTCAGTGTAACAGCCATGGTATACAGCATTCTTTCACAGTATCCTTAGAATCCAATGGCATTTTAAATATTGTTACATTCATTTGATCTTAAGAGACTTATCGATCAAGATAAGGATATTTTGAACCATAAAGGCTTTAATCACTCTCTTCGAAAACATAAATTTAGTTTCACACTAACAATAGATGTCTCATCCAGTACTCATTTTACTAACAAGTAAATAAGTTTATTTGAATCTGTTTGTCCGTTTATTAATATTACGCAATAGGTTGAGTAGAACAGTTCCAAATAACCAAGTTTGTTCAAATAATAAGGTATGATTGTATTTGGATTCTGTTCTTAAAAATGATAACCATTGTATTTTAAGCAAAGATGGATAGTGACTAGCAGTGTAATCCAGGACGCGCGTTTCGTCCTCTTTGTGACTCGTCAGCTGGATGTACCTGCATCTCACAGTTGATGTTCACTTTGGGACTCGAACTCAGTACCATTTGCTTCAAACGCCATCGCATTATCCACTCGGCCACTTCATTTTCCACTGCTAGCCACTATCCATCTTTGCTTATAATGCTTGTGAATAAAGGCTATATCGAGGCAATACGCACATTATGCACATATGCCAATAAGAGACTGATCAATTGCAGTCTTAAACATCAATGGGAAGATTAAAACAAACAATACTAAGTGATAACCATTGTAGTTTTTTAGTACTTTAGTTCATCAAACTTTAAGTTGAACACTAAACCATTTACCATGCGCATTGTATAATGTAGAGTTTTACAAAAATACTGAATCTTCATACAATATACCATTTTTAGTAATGCCAGAGAAGTATAATTACTACTACTTACTTACGCCTGTTACCATTCGTGGAGGAGCATAGGCCGCTCATCAGCATTCTCCATTCAACTCTGTCCTGAGCAATCCTTTCCAGTTCGTTCCAGTTGTTATTCATCCTTTTTATATCCGCTTCAATCTCTCGGCGTAATTTATTCTTTGGCCTTCCTCTTTTCTGCTTCCCTTCCGGATTCCAGAGAAGTATGGATGAAGAGTGTATGATTGAACATTCAAAACCACTTGAATTATGAATTAGTTTATAACCTACTAGTTAACAAGTAAATCTAGTGATATTCCCCATATACATCATAATTAAAGTATCTTTCTAATCTTACTTTTATATAACAGAACAATTACCAATCAAATTTAGTGAATATTCGAGAAAAACCAATCCAAATTGTATATCCTTTTCATTCTACCAATTTATCTCAATCTGGAAGATTAATCATTTCATTATCAGCTGAATTAGCTGAACGTGAAGCACGTAAAAAACGTTTAGAAGGAATTATGTCACGTATCAAATTACATTCTAATGATAATTATAATCAAACAATCAATAATGAATCTTCTATGGATAAACTAACCAATACAGTACAAGATATAGGAGAAATTTATCATTACAGCAAACTGCAACAAGTAACAACGTCAGTACTAAATCACATAACAGTTCCCCCATTGGTTCTAAATTCATTGACACATAGTTCTCAAGAGGGGAAATGCATATCTACATCGTATATTTTACCCAACAATATTAATCCAGACAAAAAGGACCATCTTCCCGAATCTACAGATGAACTAACCTTCCATGGTGAAAACGATCATAATAATGATCCTGATGAACAAGAATATGAGAATAAACCTATTCAATTAGATAGTAATAATGATGATACAATAAGAAATCGTGCATCTATTATTGCTAATATGTTAGCTTCTGGTAGATTAGATAGAAATAGTCGTGCAGCTGAAGTACTGATTACTATGATATCAAAGAATCAATCAGATTTAAATAAGAATAAATATATAGAGAATATACATAAAGCGGATGAAGTTATACCTGGTAAGTTAGTTTTTATTTGGTGATGGATTCAATTTGATTTATGTCTCATTATAATCTTGAGAAATTATTCTTGAGATTTCAATGTTAAACTCAGTGACTTCCAGTATACCTTATAGTCTGTTACAAAACATTTTGACAATCCACTTCATTTTAATAGTTGAGATCATGAATCGGTTAAAGCTAGACTACCATGGAAAAACTGGAAGCACTGAACGACCATTTCGTCCTATTGTGGAACTCCTCAGTGGTAGTGCGCATCCACGATCCCGCCACAAAACGATTCGAACCCACGACTTTTAAGTCTCGTGCGCGAGCACTTAACCTCTAGACCACTAAGCCGACCGGCATTCAATGGTGTTAATGTCTAACTTCAACCAATCCATGAAATTGAGCGACACATCCACCAGGAGATACCTCTTGAAGACAGTAACTAGTGAGCATATGTTGATTAATATCAGAAGGGCGTTTTGTGGATTTTGTAGTAATTTTAATAAATGTGATCATGAATTTCGTGGATCGGTTGAAGTTTGACATTAATACCGTTGGATCCCGGCCGGCTTAGTTATCTGTAGGTTAAGCGTTCGCGCGCGAAGCTGATAGGTCCTGGCTTCGAATCTGAGAAGTCTCACAATAGGACAAAACGGCCGTCCAGTGCTTCCAGGTTTTTCATGGTGATTTAATTTCAATTGACTCATGATCCCAACTATTGAAATTACTATATTATCCACAAACCCCCTTCTGAATAATGTTGTGTTTAGTACTTACACATCATTGCATTTAAATGTATTCAAATGTTAAAAATATATGGTTTCTTCAATGGAACAAAATTAAAATAGATAACGGCGAGACTATAATTTATGGACGAACCAATCAGGAACAGGATAATATGTCTCGGATTTTCTCCCAAAATTCACTTCATCCATTTGTCTAAATAGAGTTTTGGCATCATTATAACTGATATCAGTTCGTGATGAAAACCCTAAATCTAATTCTTAACCTTAACCATCAACTGTAAATCATAATTCTAATTCCTCACATTGGTTTATAACCCTCATTAGGTCCTAGTTATTAGATGGACACTCTCAAGGTCAGTTCAACATCACCCAAAAGTCGTGCATAAATTACATTCTCACTAACAGAGCATCAGCTAACAGCATCTACAGTTGTTAATGATAACATAAAGTACAAAAACTAGGTTAACTGAAATTCTTATTACTGAAACAAAACACGTAGGTAAACTAAGATCCTAAATAGATAAGAAACGTCAGATTAAACTAATTACAAATAGGTAGTTCGGAAACTTCATTATGCTGTGATGTGTACTACTGATGTCGATAGATAATAAGTAATATGTATCATCAATCGAAAGTGAAATGTCTGGAGGCAGAAGGTTAAGATCAAAGAAAAGAAAACGATGATAAAGAGTGATCGGTGTAAGAACGAGGGAACAATTAAGTCTTAGACAAATGATATTTTGCAAGTGAAATATTTACTGTATGGTTCTCAGATTTTATTAAGAGATTCTGTAGCTCAACTATCCATGTTCGTGTTCCTCTTATTATAAGCTTTGTTTTGACCTATAGACTATTGCTATACGATTTACCATTCTTGAATTATGCCCCAGTCTATTAATTAATGTCCCCCCTATTCACAGCCACATTTAGCCAAATCTTGTACAAATGTGTATTTTCTATTTTATGGTACGATGTGGTCTGTTTGGTTAGTATATAAACGCAGTATGTTTGAAATACAATGATTTATACCGCAGAGACTGTTATTGGTGTTCTGAACTTAACTGACTGGGCTAGGCAGAAAGCAGGACCTATAAGTACTCTAGACTGCTCATACGGATATTGTGTATTATTGCTCTGATCGATAAATTCACTCCTCTCTCATTAGCGGGGATCATCACCTCATATACTAAACAGGGCGCACACTCAATCGAGATAAGGTAAAGGAAGCATATATCACACAGTACATAAGTATTTATGAATATTCCTTGCATTTCTCAATATCTCAATGTTTTTTTTCTTGTAATTACTAAACTCTATTTACAGATTAAGTTGAACTATTCAATCCAAATAAATCAAAATGAATAGACAAATGAAACAATTATACAATCTTCTTCTTCCTCTTCTTCTATGTAACAATATATCAATAGGTTAACATAAAACAAGATATAATACAGTAGTTGAACAACAACAACAACAACACCAGCAGCGGCAGCAACAACAGCAGGAGCGACAATGACAAAAAATAAAAGTAATACACTAATTCATTACTAATTACTATTGTAGTCTATATATATATCATGTTTTATATAAATTACAATTAACTAAATATTCATTTACAAGATTTTATTGTTTATATTATTATTATTATAAATAAAAAAAGATCACTGATATCAGAAGGGGTTTTGTGGAGATTTCTAGTAATCATATATATATATATATATATATATATATATATATATATATATATATATAGTTGAGATCATGAGTTAATTGAAACTAGACCACCGTGGAAAACCTGAAAGCACTGGATGGCCGTTTCATCCTACTCTGGGACTCCTCAGCAGTGTGCATCCACAATCTCACCTCGCGAGATTCGAACCCAGGACCTATCAGTCATGCGAGCGAACGCTTAACCTCTAGACCAACTAAGCCGGCATCCAAGGGTTTTCCATGATGGTCTAGCTTCAATTGACTCATGATTTCAACTATGAAAATGATTGATATCATAAAGCTAATTGTTTTTTTTTCTTTTGATATGATAATATTGATTGATAATGGGGGGATGTTAATGTTACAGGTTAAATAAATTTTTTTCAGGGTTCTATATTGACTATGATCTATCCTTATGTGATTAGTATCTAAGATGAAGAAGAAATACTTCTTACAAATTGTGTTGTTAGATATTAAAGAGGTAAATAGATTAATTACAAAGTGGTATTGTGTTATCTTCTGAATAATGTTGTATTGGGTGATGTATCGCTTACAGAAAATACACTATTCTTATAAGTAATAAGCATGTTTCTGAAATACGTAAAGATCCATAAGAGGACTAACTACAATAACTTTTATTATAGTGTGTGAGTTACTTATATCATCATAAGTAGTATATGGTGATGGTCAGGCATTGAATGTATTTCAGTAGAAGATTGATAAGGATAGAACAGGAACGAAGCGCAATCGCTAAGAAAATGCATGAACAATGAAATCAGAGAAGAAAGATTGTTTTTTGCAGAAGGAACAGTCAAGATTGAGACAATTGATTGATAGTTTACAAATTAACCGTTTACAGTATGGTTATCAGATTTTGGTGGGATATTCTGTAATTTTGTTCTTAAATATATTCGATTGTCCCCACTTGTGTTATCATTCACTACAGACTGAGCCATGCTGGTAGGTGTAGACTACCTGGTTGGGACTTGCGAGATGATAGCAATCGATGGTTAGAGACCTTGAATGACATGGCTCAAAATCGTTTGTAATGGCGAAGGTGAATCCACTATTTGTGTTCTACCAAATTCTTATCTTCTACATTCTTCATGTCTCTTTCTTTTTTCTCTTTTCAAATTCATTTCACTGGATTATACTCCTTGAATAAAATCATGAAACCCTAATCTTTCACACTATTGCTTATACTCTGACTACCTCTACCATTATGGGATTTGAATCGACAATTTTATCTGTGTGCTAATGTGGTATGGTAACTAGAACCGATTTACGTACGTACGTACGTACGAAGTTCTACGTTGTGACTGACTGACCCCGACCCAATAATGATATGCATAGTTGACGCTCAGACAACAAGGATAGACCAATTTACTTCTTATTGATAGCTGAATGATATATAACTCATTGCAAGTACTTCGTTTAGTGAAACATGCCTCACTCGTACAGTATAGAAATTATCATATCTGTGACTAGAATAACATTTATAGTGTTTCATGGAAATTGAATAATGCGAACTTATAAACTTTTTCCCATCATATCAAAAACGTCAAGTCTAAGTGTCCATCTGGAAACCCATTTTTTCAAATAAAACAACTGTTTGCTGCTAAATTTGTTGGACAGCAGATCGGACTACAACAAAATTAACAAGGTTACCTTGATCGATAGCATTCGATCAGCACTAAAGAATGACTTGACATGCATGACATTGATCACCACCCAGTGATCAATCAATTGTGAAGGTTACCTTCTTTACATACAGAAATGTTTACTTTCTTCTTCACCTAGTAATAGATGACCGAGTGAGGGGACATCAGGGACTTATTAGTAAGCTCAAATAGGAAAATAAAAGGATCACTACCTGGTTAATATTCTTCTGTGAATACAGCCTTATTCATATTAGAAAGTTAGCACTAAATCTAAACATATTCGCTTAATGAAAACTGTCGATTTAAATGAAACTTATTGCTTAAATTCTACGGTGAATGAACACAGATATATATACTACTGAGCTGACAGTTCATAACCATATAAGTAATAGGTGACGTATCATTTGCAGCAAAACAAAATATTTCTACGTATACGGAGAACTTTAAATGACAGATAAATAATTATTGGGATTCCATGATAGTCTGGATAGATAAGTCCCCATATTGATATGAGTTAAGAAAGAAGTTGATATATAAAATGATCTCAGTAGCGATTACGGTTGGCCAACAAATCTTTCTATTGAATGACATTCAAAGTTAGATTGACAACTGAGTTTAAATTCTACTTTGATTACTGAATGTTTTGTTATATTATTAATGAAAAATACTCAACTAACTACCATAGTTACTTAGTTTCATTATCTCAATATACATTGTATTAAACGAGTGCTAAGGTCAGTCAGTAGAATAACAGACAGATAAATTGAAGGTCTCGTGATTTGCATTTCTCCCTTAAATTGATTTCTTTCAACTTCAAACACTTGTTGTATTGTACTACAATTTAGAAACAATTATCTTTAAAGACGTTGACATGAACTTCTCACAACGTTTCCTTTTCAAAGTTCAATTTTGTATATTTCAATGTAATTTCTAGAGAACGTAGGGTACTATGCATATTTATGCTTCTGTCACTCTTGATATTCCTCCCAATCTTAAATTCTATTACTCCTTCATACATACTTTAATGCTGTTTTTTGAACATACTCTCAATTTTTTAGTCTTCACCAGCAGAGATGGCTGAGGCACGTGTTAGGTATGCTCAACCACCGACTTCCCCGACGTGCTGTAGGAGTAGGTTGGAAGAAAGCTACGAGCGGCCAGACCAAAACATGGCACAAATCCATGAAGTCACTGACAAGTGGATTGAGTCATGTTGGTACGTGTAGACTACTTGGTTGGAATCCGCGAGATGATAACAACCGATGGTTAGAGACCCTGAATGACATAGCTCAAAACCGTTTACAATGACGAATTCTTCATATCTCTATGTTTTTTCTCTTTCCAAATTTATTTCATTGGATTATACTCCTTCAATACCATCTTCAAGCCCTAATCTTTCACATTAATACTTATACTCTTACTACTTCTACCACTATGGGTTTGGAATCGACAATTGTATCTCTGTGCTAATGTGGTATGGCAACTTGAATTGAAGTACGTACGTATGAAGTTCTACGTTGTGACTGACAGCTAATTTCTTACTGTCAACAATATAACAATCAATTAAACAAAAAACATCATATAGTCTAAGAAAAAAATACTTTATTATTCATTTGAATAAGATTATATAACATCTAGTATATCGGCAAAACAGCTTATTTATGTACATATAATTCGTTTGATTGTTGGTGCTATATCTGCAGGCCACCATGATGGTATATATGGAATGATTTCTAATTGTATTGCACTATTGTTATCACAGTCAGTATGTAGAGGAATATTCACTATTAATTTATATTGTTGTTCACTTGCTTCTGTTAAACGTATCAATGCTATCCCACTAATTGGACCATTATCAATAATGAAACTATGATCATCATTATCATTGTTATTAATCATAATGAAATTATTCATATTGACATTACGAATCCATCCAATTGGTTTTAACTTTGATTGAAGTAGTTCATGATTGTTATCCACTTGATATATTGGTGCATTATATATACTACTATATTTCAATAGTTCAATTAAAAGAAGAAGAAAAGAAAGAAGTTGAAATGAATATATATTTGTGTATTGATTACTTAGAATATGCAGATGACATAGTCCTGTTTAATGAAGACGCTAACAAAATGCAGAGTCTTCTGTTAGAACTTAGTAATAATGCCAGGATATTTTGGAATGCGTTTCTCCTCATTTAAATGTAAGTTCTTACTCTAGGACTGGCTTGTGTCAACACATGAACTAAGGATAGGGAGTGAAGTAGTCGAATGCGTCGACAACTAAACTTATCTTTAAAGTCTGATCTGCCGTAATAGGTTGGTGTCTGATGAAATTTCAGCACGGATTCAAAAGGCTGGTTTGGCTTTTGCCAACTTACGTCACCTATGGAGAAGACGAGATATCCGTCTATCAATTAAGGGACGAGTATACTGCGCAGCAGTCCGTTCTGTTTTAATTTACGGCTGCGAAACATGGCCATTAAGAGTAGAAGATACTCGTAAATTAAAAGTATTTGACCACAGATGTCTTAGAAATATTGCTCGCATCTGCTGGGATCACCGGGTAAATAATAGTGAGGTTAGACACAGTGTATTAAGGAATGATGGTAAATCAGTTGATGAGGTCATGAATGTTCATCGACTGAGATGGTTGGGACACGTGTTACGTATGCCTGAACACCGATTATTTTTTATTTATTTAAACACATAAATATTGGTACAAAAAAGCACCAGACAAATATGCGCCTCACAAATCTCATTTGATTTGTGTGAGGGCTGTCACACTGCTGAGGTGCCCAGACTGAAGCAGGTGGTTTTCTTAGGGAGCCATACCCGGAGCCTTTGACTTGAAAGTCTAGTCCACAAGGCAGTGGAGTATCGTGAAGAGATGCAGTCCCATGGTAGGCGGTGATCAATGATTGATTCGTACGCCATTTGTTCCTTCAGGATACTGGAGCCCATGTGCACCATTGGTTTGGAATCAGGGTTTTCCAACTCCCCTAGGTGAACTCGCCTTGTCCACCAACCCGGTTAAAGCGCCGGACATTTACTTTTCGTCCTATCAATTTCGTAAACAACAGTAATGCCACGAGAAGGCAGTGAGTAGGACTTCCCTGGCAGAGGCTATATATTCGCTGGCCATGTGAGAGCATTTCGAGAGGAAGAGAGAGGACTCTCCCCACTCTCGGCCGTACCAGGGCATTTGGGGGCTGAACACCGATTACCATGACGCGCTATGCTGACTAGTGTTGGGGATGGTTGGAAAAGAGTTAGGGCGGCCAAACCATAACGTGGCATCAATGCTTGAATTCACTAACTTCAAGTCTGAGCCATATTGGTAGATGCAGACTACTTGGTTGGGGTCCACATGACTATGGTAACCAATGGTTGGAGACTCTAGGTGACATGGTTCACAATCGATTAAAATGGCGTAGGTGTATACAATCTTTATCTTCCCATAAACCGCGAAATTAAAATTGCTCCATAACTTTCTTCCTTCCTATACTATATTCTTATATACCACCTATCTTTTATATACTACCACCACTGAATTAACTACTTCTATGAATTCTGTGTTCATCTTGTTGTGCTAACAAGGTATGGAAACTTGGACCTATGCATAAATATTCCTGGTCCTACGTTGTAGCTGACTGACTGACAGACTGTATTGATGATTATCAAAACAGAAATAATATTTCAAGCATGAGTCAATTGAAGCTAGACCACTAAGGAAAAACGTGGAAGCACTGCTTGACGGCCGTTTCGTCTTATTGTGGGACTCCTCCTCAGTGGCAGTGCTCATCCACGATCTCGCCTCGTGAGATTTAAACCCACGACCTATCACTCTCGCGCCAGAGCTTCAATTGATTCATGCTTTCAACTATGAAAATACTAAAATCTCCACAAAAACCCCTTCTGATTATAATTTTTATTATCAACTAACATTGTGATGTATACTACTGATGTCGATAGATATAAGTAGTAGTATGTATCACCAATCGACAGTGAAATACCTAGCAGTAGGAGTTTAAGAAGATCGAAGAAAAAGGGAACGAGAACAAAGAATGATTTGTGTGGAGACGAAAGAACAATCAAATCCGAGACGATTGATGGATATTTTGCAAATGAAATATTTACTGTATGGATCTCAGATTTTACTAAGACGTTTTGTAATTTTTGTATTAAAATACATTCGATTGTTCCCACTTGTGTTCTTGTTCATGACAATATCATTTGAAATTCCAGTTGTACTGAACAAATTTGTTTAAAATCTTTAACTAATCAGATTCAGCATACCAATATTGAACTTTTGTATAAAATTCGAAAAGCGAATGCCCTGAACTTTAACCGTGTTGGTGGATATTGAAGACCCTCCTAGGGGAGTTGGAAAACCCTGATTCCAAACCAATGGTGTACATGGACTCCAGGATCCTAGGGGAACAAATAGAGTATGAACCCATCCTTAATCACTGGCTATCATGGGACCGTATCTCCTCACGATGCTCCACTTGCCTTGTGGATCAAACCTTTAGGTCAAAGGCTTGGGGTGTGGTTATTTATTTACTTGAACACATAAATATTGGTACAATGAGGCACCAGATATATATGCGCCACACAGAAAAATGTCATTTCATTTAATTATGTGATGGCTATGATATTGCCCAGGTGCCCAAACTGAATCAGGTGGTTTTCTTAGGGAGCCACACCCGGAGCCTTTGACCTAAAAGTCTGATCCACAAGGCAGTGGAGCATCGTGAGGAGATGCAGTCCCATGGTAGCCGTTCACCAACGATTGGTTCGTACGCCATTTGTTCCCTCAGAATTCTGGAGCCCATATGCACCATTGGTTTGGAATGAGGGTTTTCCAACTCCCCTAGCTGGATCCTCAATTTCGTAAACAATACCCCCACCACGAGAAGGCAATCAGTAAGACTTCCCTGGCGGCCTACTTGAATATCCGGGTGACTACTTCCTGCCATCTATATATTTCAACAAGTTATCTGTCTTTTGTTTGTTTCAACAGAATATTAAGTCAATTAATTGCATAATCAATTCAGGTGCGTTTGCGAAAAGTTCAAAACTTTTATCTGTACAAATTAGGAAAGAGTATAATCACAGACATCGTAATTGCTGGCAATATACATCGAAAACAATGAACATTATTCAAATGTCGATTCCTGAACTGTTAACATCTAATTGGTAATCCGTCAATATATATCGTCAGGCTCAATCAACAGATAAGAAACTGAAACTTGTTGAAATACTTTGTGCTGAGAATTCTATATTGTACCAAAAATATAATAATGAATAAAGCTAAGTCAGTCAGTCAACTACAACGTAGAACGAAGCACACATATATCCATCGGTCAAAGTTGCCATAACCTCACTCATTAGCACAACAAGATGAACACCGGATTCATAGAAATAGTTAATTTAGTGATGGTAATATATAAATCAAAGATTGTATGTAAAGATAGTACAGGAAGAAAGAAAGATATGAAGCAATTTTAATCTCGCGGTTTTAGGGAAGATAAAGAGTGTATACACCTATGCCATTGTGATCGATTCTGAGCCATGTCACCCACAGTCTCCAACCATTGTTTACGATAGTCACGTGGACCCAAACCAAGTAATTTGCATCTATCAACATGGCTCAGACTAGAAGTTGGTGACATCAAGCTCTGATGCCACGTTTTGGTTCGGCCATCCCTAACTCTCTTCCAACCATTGCCAATACTAGTCAGCATAGCGCGTCGTGGCAATCGGTGTTCAGGCATAGGTAACACGTGGCTCAACCATCTCAGTTGATGAAGATTCATGACCTCATCAACTGATTTACCATGATTCCCTAATACCCTGCGTTAAGTAACTTGACTATTCATATTCATGTTCCCTTTATTATAAGCTTTATTTCGAACTATGAACTGTTATTATAAGATTTACTATTCTTGAGTTATCTCCAGTCTATTAATTACTGCCTCCCATATTCAAAGCCACTTTTGGCTAAATCTTGTACAAATGTTGTTTCCTATTTTATGGTACGATGTGGTCTGTTTGATTGGTATATAAACCCAGTATGTTTGAGAGTAATGATTCATATTGCAGAGGCTGTTATTGGTGTTTCTGGACTTAATTGGTTGGGCTAGGCAGAAAGCAGCACCGACAAGTACTCTAGACTGCTCGTACCGGTTTCGTGTGTCATTGATCCGATCGATAATTCACTGCTCTCTAATTGGCGATATTATCACGTTATAAATTAACAGAACATACAGGCGATCACAAGTTATAACACTAAGGTAAACAAGGAATCATTGAATCTAACTATGAAACTTTATCAAGGAGATACGAGATGACATTATAAACATTTGACGTTCAATATCTTATTAGCGAAAACAATATCAGGTCTAATTTGGAAGTTGACTGTGCCATCGTTCTGAGAGGTTATGGTTTTTATGGACAACCAAACGCATCACAAAAACCGTAATTGCATTGAGATCAAGGAATACAAGCTATGAAATATCGAGATAAATAACTTTAAACTCACTTTAAACTAATTGATGTTTTTAAAGCATCAATATTCCCCATCGACACTATTTTAATTGGTACATATCTTCGCCGAATAACTCCTGTAAAGTGTGTACGTGCTGTCAACTCTTGACCAATATAACATCCTTTGGAAAAGCTAACTCCACCGGACAAATCAGCATTCGCTTCGAACGGTAGTGTATCACTGGTAATGAACTCTTTAATACCTTCTGGTAAGCCCAATTCCCAACGTGCATTATGATACAGGTTTATATCAAGTGGTTTTGTGTTGCATGATGGGAAAATACTAGTGACTGTGAAATAAGGAGAAAGAAATGGAATGAGAATAGAAAAGCTTCATAAAAAATCATACGACTATCAGCGACTGATAACGATAATCAGAAGGGGTTTTGTGGAGATTTCAGTATTTTTCATAGATAAAATCATGATTCAATTGAAGCTAGACCACCATGGAGATTCGGTTAAGTGCTCTGACGCGAGACTGGTAGGTCCTGGGTTCAAATCTCGCGAGTGCGGGATCGTGGATGCGCACTGCTGAGAAGTCTCATAATAGGACGAAACGGCCGTCCAGTGCTTCCAAGTTTTTCTTGGTGGTCTAGCTTCAATTGACTAATGATTTCATCTATGGTAACGATAACGTGAGCTGGAGAACAAAGGAACTGAAGTCACATCTGGATTAAAATTAGTAATTTGTACTATGCTTTGTCGACTGACCATCTATTCAATTTAGAAAATAAAATCCTGATCAATTTGAAAGCACCAATAGATATGACTTTTTACATGTTTAAGAGAAAAAATTGATACGATATGGCATTAAGAAATGAACAAGATTGTAAATGGTCTCAATTCTGAACAATTACCCAGATCTTATAAGACTACTGAACTACTCAATCACTGAGAATTCATCTAGTATACTGCAACAGACCACCTTATCCAAATCCAAAACAACTTGTAGGGCCAACAAAATATCACAGAGACCTAGCCAAATTACCAGGTATTTGAGTCACTGAATATCGAATAGTTCATCGATCTCCGTCATGGTCGAGGACAACCAACGCGCACCAATTAATCGTACGCCATGGACTGGCCCATGCAGTGGTGGTCACACCTTCGCTTGTACCTAATCTGATTAATATATATCTGTCATAACGTCCTTTGTGTTATACGGTCTTCAAAGCAGCAATAGAATATTTGATACGACGAAGGGTTAGACCACGTTAGATGCTGACCGCGAAGTGTGACTTCGAAGTTAACTGTTGGTCACACCGTTCCCGTCTAACTCGAGTAGGCCACCGATCATTCAACATAGATCATCTACGTTAGTGATCTACAAAACATTCTTTGCTTCATGCACCATGTTCAAAACAAACCACCTCTTCATCTATATCCATGTCCCAACGTCCGAACGCAAAATTTGGTTTAAAAGTTGCTGGAGTAACACAAACAGAGCATTTCAATACCGCCAATCGGTCACCGCTGTCATCTAAACGGAGTACCAGACCTTAGTTTCGATATTACTTTAACTCAAGCTAAACCTACGTATCTATGTCGTCAAGTGTCCTAAGATTAACGTCAATCGCATGTGAATTTCGCCATAGTAGATACCTGTCACTCGTGGTACCAACAGAGTTGTCCAGTTACACAAATTTGCCAAACACTTAGAATAAACTATCACAAAGAAGGGTATGCAAACAAAATAATTACCATTTGTATTCGATGTTGATAGTATGCGTCCAGACCAACCAGATATACCCCTAGGATCTGAAGCGAAAAATATCAATTGTTTTTGATCACTAATATCAAGTGAATTCACTGGCGACCATGCTTCATAATTATTCAGTTGATTCGAGTGTCTTGATGTCGGCATAGCGACCCAAGGATACACTGATAAGTCGGCGTCTATCTTAACCTGGACAAATGTTATTTACGATTAAAAAAATGAACTTTTAATGGATTTTTTTAAAAATTTTAAGGTAAAAAATTTGAATAGCCAATTAAAGAAGGTCGGTGTATATCGAAACTTAGTATCTCAGTATGTATAGTCCTAATTATTAAACTTTGAGACGGTAAATAAGAAAATGAACATGTGGGACAATATATTTAGATGAATTAGAAGTACATATATCCATACTAAGAATCGAGTTACGTTTACTCTACAATTACTCTACATTATCGGAGTAACTAAACCGGGTGGGTTTGTGCGTATGATTACCAGTGGAGAACAAAATATATAAGCCTTCTTGAATAAGAATGTATTTACAATGTACATTGTGAAGAGTTGAATGCATCTATATTAACATATTTCATTTAAGATTAGATTGTACTACAAATGAAACCATAAACTTCAATTTCATTGCGATCCCCATATACGAAGTTAGTAGTCTTTAGGAAAAGGTCTACAATCTTGTCAATCGATATATCAAACTTATCCACACCGCCCTATGTCTGTGCGCTACTTACCCGGAGGTTTCACTAAATGCGACCAGTGCTTCAAAAAAACTTACCACCAAACACTAGCAACTTACGCATATCTATTACTTCCAAAGGCTATTTTCCACAGCCAATAAGTAACAGAAACTAAGCCTCTGCACAGCACACACCCCACGATAATTAGACAGGTATCTTGCTCGTACTGAAGGTAGCATTATCCGGCAAAAGATAAACGAGCTTACTTTTATTCTTTTAGACTTCGAGCATTGCTTTTATATCAGGCCTGGTTAGGTACACGAGGTAAGTGAAGTTAATAACTCACTAACCAGGTACTTAGTCATGAGGTGCAATTTAAGTGTTAGGAGTTGTGAAACTGCCTGGTTGCTTAAGCCAAAGTGGCAGGAAGTCGAACTTTTCAGCCACCGTGGCGTAATCAAATATAAAATTAGGTAGAGCAGTCGTGAATCAAAATTATACATAACCTATGTGCGTAATATTTCTAAATCACAAATACTGTTAAATCAACATCAAACACTATAATTGACCATAAATACTTCCGTCAAATAACATGATCAAAGAATCCATGCAATCGACTTTTAAATCATATTAAAGCAATGAAAAATATAGCAAATAACACTGAAGTGAAACATACTTTTCCACGTAAATTATACTGCTTTAAGTGTTTAACCAGATTAGGTACGCAACTGACGTCAACTTCAACAAGGTAATCAGACTGATTAGCTGATAAACGATTAGTATGATAGATGAATGCATCAGTTAGAACTCGACCCTAGAATATATAATGGAAAATCTTATATCTGACAAGAAGGAAATTCAGTGAAATATACCTTCGAGTTGAGAAACAATGAATACATGAATGAATTAGGTTGGTTTATAGACTTGATATCATTTGTTATAAGTCCTTGTAAAAACTCATCGGCTGACGTGCCATGAACGCATATAAGACTTCTTTCTTTTAATTGACTTATACTCAGCAAACGTTTAGGAAAAGTAAAATGACTGGCACGAAGAGAATTTCCGAAAACGATCATGAGCTTCGAGTCCAAGCACAAAAACAAACTAAAAGAAACAAATACAACTTTAATTATCATTACATGGCAGAAATAAACATATTGGTTCATCTTTGGATGATTAGTTTGTTACCTATCCTTGAAATGACAGGTTGAAACAACAAACAAACCTTATCAGAAAAAGTCTTACACTTCTAAATATGAAGGTTCGTTATCAGTGATCCAATTAATTTACGAAAAACGCGTTAAGCAATATATCAGTACTCCTATGATTTAATGCTTTTTATGATTTATGTTCGCCAATAATTTTTCAATTGAAGTAAGTTCAGGACAATAAACGTTATGTAAATCTATTCAGACAAACCATCACCAAGTCATTGCTACGGAAAAATCTATCATATTTGTGTGGACTCATCATGCTACATTACAGTCTAAGTGAACTTACTCTTTTTTAAAAGGTGATTTTAGACTTCATGTCACTTGGACTGGTAACCAAATTGTGACTTCTTCATTAGAATACGATGATCGCTGAACGATCAGACAAACTCGAACTTGGTTACTACTAAGTGATCAATTAGTTGTAAACTGCATTATTTTGAAAATACCTAACCAGAGAAGGACATTGATTTTCTGTTCATATCTCTTCTTTATTAATTTGTGAACAAAGTGAGAAATAGAGCTTTTATTAGTGTATGTGAGGAGAATGCAAACCAGCTTGTGGATATCACTAGGCTGCCTCTGGGAAGTAAATTCACTAGACCAACAGAAACACAAAAACAATTACTCCCGAGTGACGGTGCAATATCTTTTTAGGTAACTCTCTACAACCTAATGGGATCTATCGATATCAACCCAAAAATCAAGATTGATGTGAAGGCAATAGGATTGTCTAGATCCCAGAGTTTCTCGTATTTAGTACAGACAGTATTCTCATATTCTTATCAAGACCATGTGTAAAAAGCAAAGATATCACATTAAACTAAGAAATTATTGAGTACACTACCATCAGGCCCTGTATATCTAATATCTTTGTGAGGAGCTGATATAAACCGGCTGATTCCTTTGCACTCGCTTCTTGTTGTTTCTGTCGCACAGACTAGGACCACACTTAATTTTTATGCTACAATGTCATCAAAAATCCACTCCCTGTTGGGTGAAAAATTTGATTATATACATAGTTATGTGAAACTATCGTAAACACACAGAGCAACGTACCAGTTCAAATGATTCGAATGATTGTTCAAATGGTTCAAATGGTTGAGGACGGAATAGAAGAAGCTTTCGCTTAACGGGCTTCCGTGTCTGGTAGTAGTGGATCACCAATACCTCCAGGCAAAAACCTAGGTATATGAACGATAATAGAGGAAAAAAAGAATTTGGTAAATCACAATAATATGTTATCCTTAGTCCTTAAGAATAAGTCAAGTTTCCTCTTAAAGGACTCCTGGGAGGTCGCTTGGACTAGCTCAGTCGGCAGCGAATTCCAGCATTTGACAACTCTTACAGAGTAGAACTTGTGTCTTCAGTCTGTTCTGCTATGTTGGGTCTCCTGTTTCTGGGTGTTACCTCTGAGGTTAGTGTTGTGACTAAGCTTAAGAAGATGTTTAAGGGGATGACCAGAAGTGTTAAGGATACTGTAAGTCATAGAAAGGCCACCTCTAAGACGCCTGTACTCTAACGGGTAAAGGTTAAGTGGTTGGAGGCGCTCTTCGTAAGGTTTGAACTTGAGTCCACGAACTGATTTCGTGGCTCAACGTTGGAAATGTTCCAGAGTGTCCTTATCCTTTTGGAGAGAGGGAGGAAATACTATGTTTCCGTACTCCAAATGGGGACGAATAAAACTGTTGAAGATTATGTGGAAGGTTCTACCGTCAAACTGGCCAAAAATGAGCTTCAATGTTACCAGTTCAAGGTTTGCTTTGAAAGGCGTTTTTGTCACAGTTAGCGAACGACTTCAGGTCGTAGGTTACCAACGCTCCGATTTTTTTCGACTTGGGAAACTTCTAGAGAGGAGTTACTTAAGTTGTAACTATAGTCTGCAACATGTCGCAGGTGGGCTACTTTGCACTTTGAAGTGTTGAAGGTAAGTCCGTTGTCTTCTGCCCAACTTTAAAGTCGGGTCAGATCCCCCTGAAGTACTAGTATATCCATATGGCAACGTATCTCTCTCCAAAGTTTCACATAATCAGCAAAAAGCAATAAGTCAGATGAAACTTGTTGAGGAAGATCGCTTATGTAAATCAAGAAAAGAAGAGGTCCTAGTATTGAGCCCTGAGGTGTATCTACAGTCCATTCTACTGTGTTGTGTTGTAGGTTTCTAGATGTAACCCCTAGGGTTTATGTTGGGACTAAGCTTAAGTAGGTGTTTAAGGGGTTACCTAGAAGTGTTTGGGGTACTGTAAGTTATGAGAAGGTCACCTCTAAGATTGCTGTACTCTAATAGGTAAAGGTTTGGTGGTTGAAAGCGCTCTTTATAAGACTTAAGTGAGTCTTCTAATTCATTTTGTGGTTCACCATTGGATACATTCCAGAGTGTCCTTATCCTTTTGGAGTGAGAGAGGAAATACTGTGTTTCTGTGCACTGAGTGGGGACGACACGTAGTGGTTAGTAGACGGAAATACTAATTTACCTGTTTGTGTAACTTCCTTTTCCGGTTATATATTATCCTTAGTCACTTAAGCATGTATTCAATTGTGATGTTTAAATAAATCAATGACTTCTTAGTATTGATGACTGTTGTAATTTGAATTCAAAAATACAATACATTCGTTCGGGCTCATCTAATACTTCTTGACTACATTGCTTTATTCCGGGGATTACTAGTTCATACTACAATTCAAATACTTCTAATTATCATATTGGCGTCGCGATTGAGCCTGTAATAGAACGGTTGGATACAAATTCAGGTTTTAATGCTTTTGAGGAGTACATGGAGAGGTTCGAAATCTGGGCTATGACCAAGGAAGATGATGAGGATTTTAATATTGTGGCCCATTTCCTTACATTCATTGGGAAAGAAGCATACAGCCTTATAAAGATTTTGGCACTTCCAGACAAACCGATTTCACTCCCCTATGCAACTCTCAATCAACTACTGTTGGATCATGTAAAGTATACAAATTCCGGATGCGGTAGGAGAGAAAAATCACATAAAATGTCTCGCAAGAACTTCAGGAACTCCACTTTTTAATAAGTCGTCGCAGTTCGATGCGTAATCAAATTTATTCAGATAATACTTCATTGAGTTGTGAAACAGTCCATGATGATGAGCACAAGTTTAGTAAATGCATGTTCTGCGGCAAGTTTCATCCATGTAATCCATGTATATTTCGTAATTCTAAATGCTTTAAATGTGGTATAACTGGGCACATTCAGTCAGTTTGTAATACCATGGTTCATTTCGCTGAAAGTAATGCTAAGATGGATGCTTCTAATGATCAGTTATCTTTATTTAGAAGTGGTATAACGTCACATAGCAGTCCAGAGTTAAATGAAACTCAGAATCACTGTGAGACAAAAATTTTTAACCAACAAACTTATCGGATTTCTCAAGATATTGAACCAGATATGGTTTGTCGTAATAATTCACATACTTCTGATGGAATTTCTTACAACTCTAAGAATAGAATGTTAAATGAGTCAAATCATGATCAAAAACCAAATTCAGTCATGGTAGATGTTGAATTCCCTGATGATCCATTACCTAATGAAACTCTTAATCAATTTGTGGAAAATATTTCAGAAGAATCGAATTCTGATATCATATCAAGTGTCAGTGGTCCTCACAATCAATTTATCTCTGATGATATTCCTAATGAATGTGACAAATATGTTCCTAATGAGTCAAATTCTAGTCATATTTCTGATGTTCTTGTATCAGATGTTGCATATTCTCACGAACAATGTGTTTCGAGTAGAATCCTTAGTCAGTGGTACGATGAATCAGATGGGATAGCGAAATTTCCCGAAGCAACCAGAGGACGAGTTTGCCCAGAAGTGAAGTTTGCACAGACAGAGAATCCAAATCAAGTCCAAGATTATCCTAATGAATATGAGGCAGATGAATGTTTTCTATTCGATTGTTTCGCAGGTGAATCAAGCCTAGTTGAATCACATGTGTTAATTACATATATCAATGCATATCCATCTGTATATTCTAGTATGAATAACAAAAAGTATATGTATCATGATTTTTGATCAAAACAAAGTCACATGATGGAATACCTCAAATCATATATCAGTGTTTATTCCCAAATACTCACATACAGTAGTCGATGCGTAAGATTTGAGAAGATACTGAAAATTGGAAATGTCATATTGGCTAAAACATTGCGACATAAGGACCCAACATTATTTCATGGGGGAGGATATTGTTGGAAAGTCCATGATGCAAATTCTAAATATCAATGGTTTTACTACAAAGCCGGAGTGCTGATTGTATACAATTCTAGAACCCAGGTTAGTCTTTTCCAATTTCGGTTGTTAATTCTAATACTAATGAATGCATTCTAGATAATACAGAGTGTACATTCAATACACCATCGGACAGATACACCTACACTTCAATCCGAGCTGTGGCGGATGTGATGTTTAAATAAATCAATGACTTCTTAGTATTGATGACTGTTGTAATTTGAATTCAAAAATACAATACATTCGTTCGGGCTCATCTAATACTTCTTGACTACATTGCTTTAATCCGGGGATTACTAGTTCATACTACAATTCAAATACTTCTGATCATCATATCAATCCATACTATCGGCGGGTACTCGACATGTACTCCAAACCATACCAAACGCGACCAAAACTGCCGTAAGTAACCGGAGATCACGACTACAAGACCACCTGTATCCTCAAAAGCTCTCCGACTAGCTCCCGAAGAGCGGAGGTTGCCTAAAAATGAATTCCACCTCACGATGGACATAGGAGTCATTCAGTAATCGAACAGCCCATGGGTGTCGTTCTTTCACATGGTCTCCAAAAAGAACAGCAACGATTGATGTCCAAATGGTGACTA